GTGGCAGTGAACAACACGTACAAACTATCCAAGCTGAAATTTCCGACAGTATCGATATCGAATGCCTTCAATGCCATGTTTCTAGGGTCAGGTGCGTCCACTTGAATTACTTGGAACATTGCAAAAGACATGTTGTCGTGAAACAGATTGACGAATCGTTCTCTAATGGAAACTTCGCTGGGTTGTGTAATGTTGAGGTAGAAGTGATCGTCTCGGAACATGTCGATGCTGTTCACGTTGATTCTCTTGTCCTTCATGTCAACGAGATTTATCCCTCTGTATCTGTTTCTGCTCACCCTGGTGACGGATTCAAATCTGCTAGGATGAGAGTATATGTAGAGGTAGGCGTTTCTTCGAATGAGAGGTAGTAGATGAAACGGATCGGATAGGTTCTGATTTGATTGCGGACCCATGGGGCCTCTGGTTCCTTGAGGACCTATGGGGCCGATGATTCCTTGGAGACCCACGGGACCTCTGTTTCCTGGAGGACCGGTTGGACCGATGGTTCCTTGGGGACCCATGGGACCTGTGGTTCCTTGATCACCTTGCACACCACGTTCACCTTGTGGGCCGTCTTGTCCATCTTCTCCTCTAGGTCCAATCTCACCTTCAGGCCCGACAAATCCACGTTCTCCACGTGATCCAACTTCACCTCTGGGACCTTCTGGACCAGGTATTCCTTGATCACCTTTTTGACCGCGTTCACCGCCTTGCCCATCAGCTCCTCTAGATCCAGTCTCACCTTCAGGACCGATCAATCCACGTTCTCCACGTGGACCAGCTTCACCTCTTGATCCATGAAGCCGACCAAACGCCTTCCATTTCGAGCTGAATTTCTTGTACACGATGAGCGTGGTTGCATCGAGATAGAAGTCACCATTTCTCCCTACAGAGTTCAGTGGCATGCCACCTCCGCTAAGCCATCCCAATCCCCGATCACCACGAGGTCCTTTCATCTTGCGCACAGTGTCCATACCAGTTTGCAATCTCGATGATGCTTGTTGGATTTCATTCTTGACCCAACCGGCAGGGACAGCACATGTCAAAGAACTATCATCGTACGCCAAATTACAGATGGAATGCTCGTTCATGTTGAGGTTAGCATCCATGGACACGGATCCATCTGTTTTCACGTGCAGCTCATCAGCTGCTATGGCTTGATCTGTGTAGCGCGTAGATCTGTTTTCCACATCTTCCACTTTGCTCTCATCGGCTTTCACCTCTTTCAGTTTCTCAACATCATGAACCAAGGTGTTTTCGGTATCATCGTTCCCCACAACTGATTGTATTTCGGTAATATCATTCCGCATGCTTTGCATGTGCTTGAGGGAAGTCTCCTCCTCATCACTCCTATGGAAATGCGTAGCCCAGTACGCCATCTTCACACACACACACACACACACACACACACTGTTCTAATTATGATAGGAAATATTTTCTTTCTCAAATAAATCATTATGATACTCATGTGTGCTAGTGGTAATCTAATGAAGCGATGATATGTTAGCAAGAGAGAGAGAGAGAGAGAGAGAGAGAGAGTGAGAGAGCATGAAAAAAAAAAAAAAAAAAAAAAAAAGGTTAGGATATAAAGTCTTTCTGATCAATCAATGTGGTAAGATGACTAAGCATTTAGCAGATTCAAGTCCAGTGAATTGTCCGGTAGGGTGTCAGGGAGAGACGCTGCCGCCGCCACCGTTGTGTCAAACGCAATGTCAGCAGTCACGTTGTCAGCAGTGCTCCACTTCTTGAGGAATGCAATCACCAGTCGAGTCAATTCAGCCTCGGGAAGGTCTTGCACGGTGTCGTGATCCCTTTCACAAAGCCGTGAGTCTACAAACATCAGAGGGATTGCCGAAAGCCATGCCTTGAATTCGCACTTCTCCCTGTTGAAAGATATAGTGGAAGGATGCAGATAGAGCTGACACTCTTCGTTCATCGGGAAGTTGGGTATACCCTTGGTTGGCTTGAGATACAAAGCAGTCACACTCTTCCCTTGGTACATTGCAGGGAAGATGTTACTCCGTATCCTGTTGATATGTGGAGATCTCACGGCACGTCTCAAAGGTGTTGAGGTCTTCAGGAAGAATTGAATGAGATCGTCTTGTGAAGCCTGGACGTACAGCTTAAGTTGACCAAAGCGTCCTTCACATACCGTGCCATTGACAAGCATGCCCGGTAAATCACCGCGCGTATAGTAGAAATCGGTGCCAGGAGCAACATGATAGTCGTGGGCGGTCTTGCTGTACATTGCTTGAACACACTCTGCTGCCCCATCCGTAATAATGGTGGCGACACCTGGTAGTATGGTAGGACGAGGAGATGGCATCTTGATCTTAGGCAGAGGCTCCAGATTCGGATTACGGCTAGCACGTCGCTTGTAGAGACCGGGTTTCTTTATCGTCTTGATAGCGAACGGGTCAATACCCAAACAGTCCACAACATCTTCACCAGCAACAACAGCATCAGTGGCCATCATGATATCAGTCACGAGAGATCCAGTGAGATCCAGAGGGAGAGAGAGAGAGAGAGAAGGCTTGAGCAACGAAACAACAAAGGCAGTTGTGAGTGAATGGAGGACTGTGCTTGCACATATATACCCTTTTGACCGCCGCCGAGTTTGAAATAACATCCTATGGGAGGTGACGACCTTGGAGAACACGGTGAAATTGTTCAAGAATCAACCAATCAGAGGACACGGTGAGCAGATGATAAGATTTAACCAATCACAGCACGACTTGCACTTGACCTGTCGGAACATGTCTCGGTCATGACTGAACGTGTCTCGACCATGTCTCAGAACAGGTTCCCGAGAGTGTAAATCTCCAACGCATTGCTAACATCGATGACGTACTGCAGTCTTGGTAAATTGATAGAGTATGTTGGCAAGATCAGGTGGGAGAGAGGTCACGTGATCTACTAAATAATCCAGACTGTAGTCATGCCAACAATAGGCATCTATTAGAAGATGCATCATGGACAGGTCTGCAGGTGACATCAAGGACAAATTAACTTTCAGAGTGTTCAGCTGTCTAGCGGACAGAGGACCCTTGATGTGTTCCATGAGATGTAGAAGAAACATCAGTGGAAAACATGATGGAAGAGGTTGTGTAATGCGGCTGCTTCTCAACCATGATACATTACTGCGCGGTAAAGAAGATCGCAGTGTGCGCACTGCATCATGATCCTCATGAAGTATACACGATAATGCTATTGCATAGTTCATGCTTTTATAGCTGCTGGACTTCTTCATTGCTTGCAGTGCCTCTTGAACAGGGTGAAACTGTGCATGCGGTAAAGTGAAGTCGATCTTGTTGAGAAAATGTACAAGATGACGATTCACACCTTGAATGCGATCGGAATCCGTGTAGGTCTTTATGCTAGTACAACGCTCTCTCCACTTTACCTCGGGCATGTAAATGTCAGCCATTACCAATCCACACTGAGAACAAACTCTATGACCAGCATGCTCAACTTGTTCTTCACGATGATAACACACTTCTTCACTTTCCTCTATCTCCTTCTTCTTCTTCTTCTTCTTCTTTTCCTCCAGCACACATTGCTTCTTTGAACGTACATAAGCATACAGGATCTCAAATTCAGAATCCATTTTCACTGCACCACAACAACTTGAAACTGACTGGATCATCATTCAAGAACACACCTTTTATACTTACATAATGATGACACCATATTACTTTATTGTTTAGGGTAGAGCATAACACCCCAATACATATTTTCAATAATACCCCATTTTTTGAGGTAGGGGCACCCCCTGGCACATATTTTTATCCGCAAAAAAACCGGGCCAAAAATAATTTTCACCGCAAAAATGGGGTACTATTAGTACCCCATTTTTCAATAATACCCCATTTTTTGGGACCCGGGCGCCCCCTGGCCCAGAACCCGCTCGTACATTCCTACTGTGATTGCGTAACCAGTGATTACGTAACCAGTGATTACGTACCCAGTGATTACGTAACCAGTGATTGCGTAACCAGTGATTGCGTAACCAGTGATTGCGTAACCAGTGATTACGTAACCAGTGATTGCGTAACCAGTGATTACGTAACCAGTGATTACGTAACCAGTGATTACGTAACCAGTGATTGCCTAACCAGTGATTACGTAACCAGTGATTACGTAACCAGTGATTGCGTAACCAGTGATTACGTAACCAGTGATTGCGTAACCAGTGATTACGTAACCAGTGATTACGTAACCAGTGATTACGTAACCAGTGATTGCGTAACCAGTGATTACGTAACCAGTGATTGCGTAACCAGTGATTACGTAACCAGTGATTACGTAACCAGTGATTACGTAACCAGTGATTACGTAACCAGTGATTATGTAACCAATGATTGCGTAACCAGTGATTACGTAACCAATGATTGCGTAACCAGTGATTGCGTAACCAGTGATTGCGTAACCAGTGATTGCGTAACCAGTGATTGCGTAACCAGTGATTGCAGGACCCTTTTTCCATTTGTACAGGTGATAGTACTTATTTTAGACAATCCCGGCTGTTTGTATGACCCACAACTTAAATGACTTAAGTATGACGGTTAGTGTATGGCCCACTACATGTATGTGTATGACCCACTGTACGACCCACTACGTACAACCAACTGTATGATGTCTGATGCACTCACTGTATAGGCCACTATGTGTATGACCCACTGTATGACCCACTGTATGACCCACTGCATGGTCCACTGTATGGCCCACTGCACGGTCCACTGTATGACCCACTGCATGGTCCACTGTATGGCCCACTGCACGGTCCACTGTATGACCCACTGCATGGTCCACTGTATGGCCCACTGCACGGTCCACTGTATGACCCACTGCATGGTCCACTGTATGACCCACTGCATGGTCCACTGTATGACCCACTGCATGGTCCACTGTATGACCCACTGCACGGTCCACTGTGTGTGTGTTGATCCAGTCACTCACTGTTGACCCACCATATGTATGGTTGACTGGCCTATGCTCAGGCTCCTGAGATGAACGTGAATGCCTTGGATGCAAGCAGCATGACACCACTCATGTGGGCTGCGTATCATGATAGCCCTGATGTCATGGAGGAACTTCTACAGCACGGTGCTGGTAAGCTGGATAGAGTGTACGTGTAAGACTGGTGTGCAACTGTCTTCACGACATGGATCAACTTGACTACAGTTTTGGCATGGATCCATACACGTTTAGACCAGTGTCCTTCATGATAGGGTGACTGTGTGCAGTCTGCCGTTAGTGACTTGACTGGCAGTGGGCTATCTTGGCCAGGGACTTACTGCTCAGTGGCACAGGCAGACAGAAGTCACACGAGCATACGACATCGGGGGGGGGGGGGGGGAGGGGCATGGCAACAGATGACGTGTTTTGCAGTGGTCAGCCGGAGTGGATCCAATTTGAGATTATTTGACCTGTGCGTTATTATGCTATAACATACTTCTGACATCATCACTTCAAGCCCTGTTATTGTGACACAGCCTGGGTCATAGCTGGTTAATGCTGGAAACTTGTTACTGCATGTGAAGCTGACTTATAACAATAGTGAGACTGATCTCCAGATTGCCTAGAGTGCTCAACACCATAAGGATAGAGCAACACCACAAAGGCAGAAGAGAACAGAGACAGCCGGCTAGGTCATCGTTGTAACGTAGCGTTACAACAATGACCTAGCCGGTTGTCTCTGTTCTCTTCTCCCATTAAAGCTAACTTCTATGTACATTCATTTTCACATGCATTGTGACCTTCCTGCTGTTGTGTCTGATTGCAGATCGTACATTGCAAGATGAAGACGGAATGTCAGCCTGTCATTGGGCAGTACACCCACAGCATGATCACGCACTGAAGGTATTTTCTCCTTGCAACACTCTCCTTAGAATACTCTCCTTGTGCCACTTTCCCTGTGAGACTTTCCTCGTGACAGTGAGCGCTCTCATCCTTTGAGAACTTGATCAGGCTTTGATACACCATCCAGTTTGCTAGAACTTTTGTCTTCATATTATGCCGCTGAGGATGTTGTAGAATGTGTGGTCAAAGAGGATGTTGTAGAATGTGTGGTCAAAGAGGATGTTGTAGAATGTGTGGTCAAAGAGGATGTTGTAGAATGTGTGGTCAAAGAGGATGTTGTAGAATGTGTGGTCAAAGAGGATGTTGTAGAATGTGTGGTCAAAGAGGATGTTGTAGAATGTGTGGTCAAAGAGGATGTTGTAGAATGTATATGTCATATCCAATGCATCCACTGGGATATCAGAGACCCATTTTTCCATCAAAAGTGTATGATGACTGACAGCATACTGTATGTATGGCCTGTTGGTGATGTGCTGTGATGAAGTGATGTGCTGTGATGAAGTGATGTGCTGTGAGGAAGTACTTTGTGTGCAGCCTATTGGTAATGTTCCTGTCTCTGACATTTCTATGCCGCACTTCAGATTCTACTCGACACGAACTCTGTTCGGACACGTGATGCCCGTGGCAAGACCCTCGCACACATGTCTGCAGAGCATGTAAGAGCCGCTCCAATCCAACCCTCCAGGAAACCGTGATCTCCAATAACTCATCTGTTTGCTGTTGGAGACTTGAATCCTTGAGCAGTAGATCTGAATGAAGGCTGGATGAAGAAGTCACTGTACAATCATGCTGGTTTGGTAGTTACCACTGCCCCATGCTCATGTAGCTAGTGTTGTCCGCAGTATCCATTAAAGTGCCGTGTACATGTACTTTGATTATTGATTCTCGTTGTGCTGCGGTTCCCTGTGTGTGTGTGTGTGTGTGTTTGTGTGTGTGTGTGTGTGTGTGTGTGTGTGTGTGTGTGTGTGTGTGTGTGTGTGTGTGTGTACGTGGTATGTGCAGTCGATTTCCAATCGAGAGGTTGCGGTTTCAATTCCCGACGATTATGGTCGCACACGTCTTTCTTCTCTTTCTCGGACTCTTCCTGACTTTTCTTTCATTCTCCTGGGTGGTTACCAACAGCCAGTGTATGCCAGAGTATGTGGTGTGGTGTGTGTGTGTAGAAAAAAAGAAAAAAGAAAAAAAATGAAAAAATGGAAAACATGAAAAATAGGGATTCACTGGCCAGAAAAAGTCACTTAAAACAGCTGTGTGGTGGATACCAGGCTAAAAATAGTGGCGGTCAATTCATCAGCCTTGCAAGCTGTTGAATGGTGTAATCCCAGCACAAGTTGCTATGTCTAACATAGCTGTTCGCTATCATCGCTTCCGCGATGGGCATGTCTGAGGTCTGAGGTGTATATGTGTGTACGTGTTGTCCCCGGTTCAGGGTGCTGTCGAGTGCATGAAGCTTGTGCTGTCCAATTGGCCACAAAGCATTCATCAATGTGATGATAATGGGTAAGTGCATGGCAGCATGTTACGAGCAGTTTAGATGCATAGAGATTATGTGAATGACATCATGATGATGTAATGCTTCGAATGCAGCAGCAAGTGGCAAACTGCTCCTTGACCGTACCACCCTGAAGTACCTTCCAATGCCCCTGCTACATGCAAGTTGTATGCAACACTCTGCAAGATGTGACAATGTGATGCTGCATGTATAGAAATACTCGCCTGTGTCCTCTGCTGTTTGTGCCTGTCATGCCTTTGTCTCCATTTTACATCACGTCCAGGCGCACCCCGCTTCACTGGGCCACCGTGTGCGAACAACCTAACATTATCCGCCTCTTGTTGGTTGCTGGAGGTATGTCAGGCTGCTGCTGCCTTGTGCGGCTATGATGCATGGTGATTGGCGAAGTACTAACACAAATGTCTGTGTTATTTTCATGGATGTGGTGTATCTATCTTTCCAGGATATGTTAATATACAGTCAACTTCGCTTATAACGACACTCGGCGGGGCATCAAAATGGTGTCCTTATTCGCGAAGTGTCGTTATACCCGAAGTCTCGTTATATGTATTACAGTGGGATGGGACTTTGCTCTGGGCATGGAAATTCTTTCGTTATTCGCGAATTGTCGTTATATACACAGTAGTTATTAGCGAAGTTGACTGTATGATGTTTAGACTGTTGTGAGTTGTGAAATAATTTGATGATGAAACAAGAAACAACAATACTTACAGGACGCATCCAAAGAATAGCAACTAAGACATAGTAATGTCGCGTATAAAAGCAGGTGCTTACGGCCGTATAGGTCGATATCAATGCTAAGCTTCTATTCAAGTCAGGCTACTATTCAAACCACGTATCTCTATGTATGTCAACACTAAACCAGGCTTATGTGCCGACAATGTATCTTAAAATCAGGCTTGTATTCAAAACAGGCTTTTAAGTAAACAAGACACTACAGTAGTAGTCTTCGATAATTTTGTAAAATCTAAATGTTTCCTCGCATGTGCGTTTGTGTGTCTGTGTCTGTATGTGTTTGTGTGCATGCATACGTGCGCATGTGTGTATTTGTGTGTGCGTATGTGCGGACATGCATGCACTGTACACTGGTAGCTGACCCTAGTGCACCAGACAGGCTGGGACGATCGGCTCGAGACTACGCTGCAATCAAGAAACTACGCTACTGCCAGATCTTGCTGAGTCGACCTAAGTTTGCTGCGAGTCATGAAATGAGGTAACACAATCCGGTGATGTCACTTCTAAGGCACTAGTTTGCGGTCATCAGGATATAGATATGTTGACGCTGGGCAGTGAGGCCTCACGTTAGACTTGAATATACACATTGAATGTCCTCCTGTAGGCTACACGACCCATATTTAGCAACCAAGGCATTGTCGGTCCGAAGCGAACGCCCCTCCGCTCATCCATGGTTGTGAAAAGCAACACTTCAAGCTTCCTTCACACCTTTCAATCTCTGTGTTGCGTCCAACTTAACCAATCCTTGTTTTCTGTTGCATTGCTTGCAATAGCATGGCACAGCTTGACGCAAGTATAACGGGAGAATTCAACGAACGTTGGTCACAGGTACGGTATCTGAGTGTGACTATGGCAATCATTATTCTCTGAAATCATGTCATATGCTTTGAAATACAGTACATGTATATGTATGTATTCCCACCCTGGCTTTGGTGGGGAATGGTCAATTGCGTTCATTCAGGTGACTCCGGCATAAGTTGCACATGTTGGATGTTATCTTCCAGGACATTATGGACTGGTATTTCTGCAGTATGCCAGTACACCAGTACACCAGTACATTATGCATTTACAATAGGCCTAATTTACAATGTAGCAGGAACTGTTATTACTTGTCACGGCACGTGAGGCCTGCATGCTGTACTGACTACTATGTACATGACTCAGTGCTGCTGCTGCTGCCTGCTGTACTGTATGGTGTGGTGGTTAGGCTGACGGTTGTGCTCTGTGTGGTGCAGTGGTAATACTGCTTCGAAGTATCCTTATTATGATGACCCAGCGGCTATCCAATGCGGGTTGTTCTCTGTATGGTGCAGTGGTTATCCGATGGTTGTGCTCTGTGTGGTGCAGTGGTTATCCGATGGTTGTGTTCTAGGAAAGTACACACATGATGGACGGGGTCCTCTTCACAAGAGATTCTTTTGGGTGGATATATCTCACAATGAGGTAAGCACAATAGGTGACTAAGCCGATTATCCCTGGCATTGCCTCCAGTAGCGTATAACTACTACACTGTAATAACATTTGTGACAGTCGCCAGCCATTCTCTACCTCCATCTCTACAGTGTATGCTCACTGCATTCTGGTGGGTGCATGCAGAACATCAGCTCATTCCATGCATGTCGGCAATAACTGCAAGAAGCCACCCCGGTGGGGTGTGCTGATATCCTGACAACACCTCTTGTTTTATAGATGCCCGTCATATGAAGTAGGTTAGGGGCCGTCCAAGGTTACCAATAATATTTTTTAAACGAAATGTTTTCGTTTGTGGGTGGGTGGGTTTGATGGAGTTTCGTTTTGAAAATAATCATCGAATCCTGATGGAGAATGCCCAGTTACTTCTGGGTGTCGAAAATTGACATCAATATTTTATTGGAATTCGTTTTACCTGTAGAAAAGGTGGGTGGGTGGGTGGGGGCTGAAAAATACTAAAACTTTTCGTTTTGTAAAAACAATCGGTAACCCCGGACGGCCCCTTATTGTCTGTGACTTTTAGAACCATTACTCTACAAATTGTAGCCCAGTTGTCTGTCCAGGTGCCTACCCCACAACTATGTCAATCATTGTAGTGTATTTTAGTGACATGCTGAGCTGAGTTCAGCGGACATTATGACCGTGTGCTGTTGGAATGCTCTGACATGCTTGCACAGATCTGCTGGTCCAAGGACAAGAAGAAACTGAAAGAGTATTCATCTGGTAAGTTGTCACTGAGTTTCTGCTGTGGTGTACTGAGCAGAACAGCTAGGCACTGCAGTACATGTACTACAAAGCAGATGTACATCGTCTTGACCAGTGTGGAGGCGACAACACTATGATATTCGAGCACCAGTCCACTGTAGCTTGTCCTATGTCATGATCAGCTCTGAGTCGCTTTGTGCCGATTAGTACTAACATTATAGTGACATGCAGTTGACCTTAAGGAGTAACTCCTCCCTGCCAATTTACCCTGGTAACGCTAGTACACTCAAACGTCTCTTATCCGGACGCCTCAGATACGGGCACGTCTCTCTGCCGGGCACCTTCAGCTTGAGTTTCAGGCAAAATGCTTCGAATTTGGGGATTTTGAACCTTTTTTCGTAAGCACAATTGCTTATTTTGTCACTGCCAACTTGTGTAATCCACACATTTTCATTAATGGATTCTTTTTTATCCTGAGCATGTGCAATACGTGCCAAATAAACTTCCTCATAAACTGATAATTAATATTAATTATGGTACGTGATAGATGAGTTGTCCTTAGATACGGGCAAATCTGAGATACGGGCAGTGCCCCGGGTCCCAAGGTGCCCGGATAAGAGACGTCCGAGCGTACTCTGGAGTCCGACTGGGCCTTCATGAGTCTTATACTGTAGTAGAGGCTATGCAACTGAGGTCATGCTGGTGAGTTGGCAGATTCGCTTATCTATATGGGCACTAAGCACACAGCTCAGTTGAGTTAGAGAATTCACTTGAGCAGCTTCAATGCATCGCTTCTTCGCAGCCTTGCCAAGGAATCTCAACTGATGATGTAATGGATTTCAACTGGTGATGTAATCGCATAACCCGTCTACACTGGCACTACTGGATCAAGTTGAGAGGCCAATCACTTGAATTTGAAAGGGAAACAGTGGTTGGTTTCTTGGAATGAATGCAATGCCTGGCATTGAGCAGTCGCAAACTTTGGAGCAGGCCAAACTGAACTGCATGAACCCTCAGGTATGTGCTATGTCGTCCTGTTTGCCCAACAGCCAAAGTTATTGATATAGTACCTGGCGCAAGTGAAGCTGTCTTGGCCCGTGCAGACTACAGCGACAGGAAAAGACATCACTTCACTGTACTCACAACCGACAGGTCAGTGCACCATAGCCGCATAGCCATAGCCATAGCTGTAGTCATAGCTGTAACCATGGATGCAGTCATGGATGTAGTCATAGCTGTAACCATGGATGCAGTAATGGATGTAGTCATAGCTGTAACCATGGATGTAGCTGTAGCTGCATCCTAATTACCACTAGTTACTGAACACTACAAAGTTGCAGTGCTGGCTCACTAGTACCTGTTTCCTTTGTACACGTGCAGACACTGTGTATATAGGGGGGGGGGGAAGAGGTGATAGCAAACTAGCCCTGGCCTTTCACACTTCATAGCAGTGCTCTTCTCCACACTGTCACTGCATTGTGATATGGAACTTGAACAACATGATTAGTAGTCACTGGTAAGCTGTTGTGTTGTAGCTTGTTTGCACTGGTAAGCTGTTGTGTTGTAGCTTGTTTGCACTGGTAAGCTGTTGTGTTGTAGCTTGTTTGCACTGGTAAGCTGTTGTGTTGTAGCTTGTTTGCACTGGTAAGCTGTTGTGTTGTAGCTTGTTTGCACTGGTAAGCTGTTGTGTTGTAGTTTGTTTGCACTGGTAAGCTGTTGTGTTGTAGCTTGTTTGCACTGGTAAGCTGTTGTGTTGTAGCTTGTTTGCACTGGTAAGCTGTTGTGTTGTAGCTTGTTTGCACTGGTAAGCTGTTGTGTTGTAGCTTGTTTGCACTGGTAAGCTGTTGTGTTGTAGCTTGTTTGCACTGGTAACCGTTGCTGCTCCACAGTTTGATATTCTAGGTAGGTGGCAACTAGCTTCTATCTCATAACAACTAGCTTCTATCTCATAACAACTAGCTTCTATCTCATAACAACTAGCTATATACGGTATGTCGAAGAAGTGATTGGTAAGGTTGTATGTGGTGAACCTGAGCTGCTGTTGGCGGACCACATCATGAGTCTCAGGTACCATAGAATGCTATTGTTCTTGATAGGTCTCTGGACGTAGTGTCAAGCAATGCGGATGATTTCCAATGCTGGCTGCAAGGACTGCGCTGCTTGATCCAGATGAAGACTGCGGCAGGAGAAGGTTAGTTTGTTGATGCTACTATACGTACTGAGTGCTCAGTCGAAGTACCGCGGCATCACTCGATTTGGTCTGCATCATGATCCCGGTGAAGCCAAGCGACACCTGGATGTACTGCACCAACTTACTTCACTAAGCTGATTGATGGTCCCGGTTTGTCTCTTAGTTGCAGAGTGACTCAGCCATCTTCATCCACTAGTCAGGCAATGACATCCTCACATCATCACATGATCACAGCCAAGCTACCACCAATGCCACATCAGTATTCATCCTCATCCATGTATTCCAACTGACCAGTGATATGTCAACACATTGCCATTGCCCATATGTGCACACATATTCGTTTCTTCTGCCATGATGACTCTATCCATAGGTTGATTTTGACTTGATTAGTTCCTGCTGGCTCAATCTAGCAATTTGCAATACACAGACTGGCACGATGTCACGTGCCAATCATATGCTTTCGAAACAATATTCTACATTCTAGTAACGTGCTTCTTAAAAGCAAGTAGCAAAAGCAAAGCAACGACATGTTAAACTTGAGAAATGTAGTAAGAATCTCTTGATAATCCATATCCTCATTCTATAGCATTCTATATTATTATAGCATCTCCCATTCCATTCATAGGTAAACTGAGTTCGCTGCCATTCTTGCACTATTGATGTCATTCACAGGAACGAATATTAAATCATACGTTGAAGTGATAGGTGCTCTATTGTTAGAGAAGCCATGCATTCTCTAACTGAATAGAAGAGAAAAGCCGCTTTCTGATGAGGATTTAGTTACTTGCTGCTTTTCAATGCGTTAGGCTTAGTTCAGCAAGGGATGACATGTTGGGATTACGGCTGAAACGACGCAGTCCCCTCCCCCCCCCCCCCCCCCCACCAGAGACAATAGGTGCAATATCCTTCTCCAGACTGCGACGTTGCTTGAGTTGCCGCTTCCACAATAGTGCCATCTCTCTGGTCTCCGCAGACATTGTGTCATCCGTCTCTCCTGGTTCTTGCAGTCCCTACAGTAGAGAGCAGAGAGCCAACCAGGGCAAGACACAATGCATGAACCAGGGCAAGACACAATGCATGAACCAGGGCAAGACACAATGCATGAACCAGGGCAAGACACAATGCATGAACCAGGGCAAGACACAATGCATGAACCAGGGCAAGACACAATGCATGAACCAGGGCAAGACACAATGCATGAACCAGGGCAAGACACAATGCATGAGGTCAAGCACAAAACAGCAATTCAAAGTTCATCACAACCTAAGCCTTAACCTTGGGATGACACTTCAGATCTATGCAACACCAGTAATTGTGCATGAGGGAGTTGTAATACATGTATCCTGGGACATTGCATGGGCATGGGCTGGTGGAACCTAGAAGATGCGTATCTACCTGTAGCTGGGCTATCCCGGCACTCAAGTCACCCCCGGGCAGCGGGGTAGGGCTGTTTGCACGTGTGTTTCAGACCTCTGGCACTGGTGTTCTGGGCTGGACATGTACGTAATGTTAGCAGTCTCAATAGCAGATCACAACAGTAGAGGAGACGGCTCGATACCGGGACGTTTTGACAGCCAAATTTGTATAGACCCAAACCGATCATCAGCGTTGATTTTTCACTCGAAATATGTTTGTGGAAGGAAACTGGCATGTTGAAGTTTGCTCTGGGGCCAGAGTCAATCGAACTGAGCCACTCCTTTGTGTTGACCCATTGCCTCCAAGTTGCCCAATTTTTCGCTTCAAAAAAGTTCAAATCAGAGGTGGCTCCAAACCGGACACGTTTTAGAGTGCACGTCAAATTCACTCTGGGTCTGAAATTAGGTAATTGCTATCGCTCCACGACGGCCAGTATAGAGTAACAATAAGCCTTGTGTGTGCTTCCATTAGTTTTGATTGGTATGCGGTGCTTTATTGGCGAGAGGCGAGCCGCTGTTTACCTGCGACAAGAAGTTGATTTTTCGAAAGTCGTAAAACTCAAGTCGCAGTGCGAAGCAACACGTCAAAAACTCACCTGCTTGATATGGCGCTTCTGGTCATCGCAGAGCCATGAAATTTTGGCTCGGAGTATAACACATAGTAGTCTCACTGTGACATATGTTTTCTAATCAAAATACCAAGAGAGAAAGTGAATATTGAGTCCGTTCCGGTTTGCAACCGGTGTCCTATTTGAAACCGTCCCCTCTACCCGCATGTTGCACGGACCATGTATGATTTTAGAATTTACTTCCCTCTTTAGAGTACTCTAATTTCAGAAATTTTTGGTGCTCAATATTTTCGGTATGAGGGCAACAGGCTAGGTTAGGTGAACAGAAATTTTCGGTACAGAGAAGCAGTTCCCTATTGTGTTATGTGTGTTAGTGTTTGTTCGGTGTATTGCAATTTTAGGTATGAAACGGACGCACCGAAAGTACCGAAAATAAAAGTACACCGAAAATTTGTGAAATTACAGTACTTCCAAAGTCTACCTGTTCCACACTACCAGGTAAATAGAATGAAGTGGATAGAGATCGCTTAGTCATTAGTAATATAAAGTTATGCTCTGAGCTTTCACCGGCATGACTGATTGTGTGCATCCCATAGTGGACCGCAGAGGTGTACACACAGTGACTCAATCATTATCTGTTACAGCGGGTACTTCAAACTCACCTTCATGCAGGCTGCCTGCGGTGCTCTCATCACCCTCATGACTGACGACGATCGGCAGTCAGCTTACCAAGATGCACGGCTCTCAACGATTGCCTGTCTCAAATCTGCCAAGAGTGCTTTCATGGCGAAACTGAAACAGAAAATCACCTCAACTTAAAAAAGGAATCTTGGAAAAATGACTCCTGCCCGACGGCCAATACCCCATGGAATCCCCAACGTCTGCGTGGACTTGTAAATGATCGCACTTGTGGGCTCCCTACACCATAGTTAGTGGGCGAGGACAAGGTGCAGAAAAGGTATTGGTAGCATCAGAGTATCCGCTCGGGCTCCAACTGCATTTACTCCTACCGCCAGTGAGTAATACTTGGGTTCTACTAGTGTGGGTGGCTAAACGAGAGTTGACCTGATAATTATAGGCTTTACTAGCACACACAAACATACACACATACACACACACACACACACACACACACACACGTACTTGCTCACTGCCCAAACTGGTCACGTGGGTCTCCCCGGGCCGGAGAGGGGAGAGAGATTCAAAAGGGAATCTTGGAAAGATGACTCAATTGGCTATTGAGCCGCCCAACGGCCGACACACCCTGAAATCCCCAAAAGTTTGGGTGGACTTGGAAAAAGATCCCACTTATGGGCTCACCACACCACAGTAAGTCGGTGAGGACAAGGTGCAGAAAAAGGATTGACGGCATTAGGGTATCCGTCCCGGGATCCAACTGCAGTTACCCCTGCCCCAGTGAAGGTAATACTTGCTACTACTACTACTACTACTAGTGTGGGTGGTTAAATCAGAGTGGATCTGATATAAGCTTCACTAGCACCATTGATTACACAAGAGTTAATCTAGCCAGAAGCAGTCCATGGTTAACAGGTATGTATACTTCAAATAGAAAGTATATGAACCCTGAAACCAAAGGTGGCAGGTACAACAATACACCTTCAAACAGCCGAGCCTGTTGGCAACAGACCCAACACTGTCTGGCATAAGTGTACGCACCAACCGAACTAGCCGACACACACACACACATACACACACACACACATACACACACACACACACACACACACACACACACACCTGTCTTGTCCTGTCCTGTAGAGCCACTGCCACAGGGGTCACGTGGGCCCTGGGGGGGGGGGGGGCATCACAGAGGAAGAATATAAGATGGAGCACGCAGCCTGATGACGCCGGAGATGGTGGAGCAAACGGAACCGGCGAGAACACACGCATACATGACTGAACGAATTACGCTGCTGGGCAGTCGGGCGCTGGCCAGTCCTCGAGCACCGGTAACGACCGCGGCCTTGCACAGTCCGAAAGCAGCGGGCACACACAGCACAGTGCGCAGCACAGCAGGCATCCTGCACATAGACTTGCCGGGGCTCGGGAGGCCGCAGTGAGGCGGAGGTGCGGAACAGCGGTGAACAGCTAGACCACCCTTGCTTCGAAACACTTCGAAACACACACACACACACAGACACACAGACACACAGACACACACAGACACACAGACACAGACACACACACACAGACACACACACACAGACACAAGACAGTTCGAGAGAGACATCAAGAGTGTGTACATACTGAAGATCTGACGAGGCTTCATGAAATGAAGCAGTGTGCTAGCTGCATGGTTAACTTAGCTATGCTGTAGTCAGCAAAGTAATGGAAAACCGAACACAAGTTCAGTTACAAGGCTTGAAGCAGCAATTTTGTTAAATAAGTTAAACGCAAAACAATCCTTATGACCACAATAACTTTAAGTGGAGATGCATAGGATGAATTGTGCCGCCAACCGATTACTACATTCAATGGACGAACATTGACACTGGATATGGAAATACATGTAGCGGAGAAGGCGAACAGAGAACAAATGAAACATGTCTGCCGCTGTACTGCTGTCCTGCACGCACACACTGAGACAGTGACCAGCTAACTGCCCCAATTGGGAGTATACCTAGTGTCACCATCCTTAGTCTCACCCGCATAGCTGATGCCTTCATAGAAAACATGGTGAGCGTCAATACCGCCAAACCAAAAGTTGGAAGGATGAGCGCGGTTGAGTTTTTCAAATGCGGCTATGTTCTGTAGCATCTCCTCAATGGTGAAGTAGCCACGTTCGTTGGTGAAGGTACACTGGTCTAACGGTAAGTCACAGCTGTCACTATGCAAAACCAGCTTGTTGCCACCGAATCCCGGCGCTTGCATTTCTTCTCTTGTGAGCTCCGTAAGACCAGCGTCGTCGTCGTCGTTATATCTGGACGGAGCGGACGTTGTGACACTCACAATCTTAGAGTCTGGCTTTTCGAATCTGTTGAGCAGTGAGCCTGTCTGTGGCGCTGTATTCGTTGTCTCGATACATAGCGTGAAACTCAAGTTTTCCAGCCAAGGGGTAGGTCCGCGCACTGGCTTTGGGCACGAGAGATCTTTTGTAGTCGGTACGAGTCCCCACTCTTCGCTTCTTTTGTCCTCAGAATCGACTACATGTACCGCTGCATTGCTCGTCATCTTGATGATATTCCCTGGCGTGCAAGGCTGTCACAGCTCACAGGACAGAGCTCACAGAGCACCAGAAACCGCCGTGTCTTTGAGAAGTTTCTTGAGCACCTCCACCGCAAAGAGAACTCCGATACCTAAGTCAGAGTAAGAAGTAACCTTGGTTTGCCGGGCCGGAACTGCTGACGTTAGGTCATAATAAACTGAGGCCCGTGATACGGTTGAGCCGGGGATGTGTGTGGATAGTACCACCAGTAAGGCGCCAACAATAGCAGAACTCAGTAGAAAGCAGTGAAGTCGAGCGATAGCAACTACATTCTACAAGGTATGGGTCCTCTTCACTCAGTTGAGACGAATCGAGTGGGTTAGCTCGAGCTGTACTTCCGGAGGCGAGAGAGTTGTGAAGGCATGGTATCACCCTCGTACTCATGAGATATTCTTTGCTTGTCAGTACTGTAGTAGCCCCTCCACAGTCCACATAGACCCCCTCCCACAATCCCAAGCCAGCTGGCCGAAGGAGGGCCTGGGGGGGGGGGGGGGGGGGGGGGAGACGGCAGTGAAATCCTAAATATGCAGTTTCAGCTACAGTACGCATTCGAGTATGCGAGTACCAATGGTACTGTACTTTTTTTTTTGTAGGTACGCAGCCGGGTGTGATATGGAGCAGCAGGGGTGATATGGAGCAGCAGGGGTGATATGGAGCAGCAGGGGTGATATCGGCCTATATCACCCGCCAAGGAAGGGCAGTGAATCCAGTGATTGGCCCATTCCTAGGAAACGGTCACCTGATATGTGATAATCACCGGTATCACCCTCGTACTCATGAGATATTCTTTACATCAGTCTGTGGCGCTTATTGCATGCCAAATCTGTAGATCTACTCTTCAACTGTCAAGTAGCTTCGCACGTATCTCGTACATGACGCATTGCGCTTGTATTATTATTCATTGTATTGACCCACGTACTCGGGTGTTACCGTATCCTCATATCATGCCTCCTGCAGGCCTGCTACGCAGTCGGGATGGTATTAGGGAGGTAACACCCTCGTACTTGGGTAATATCCTCTACGTAACACCCTCGTACTTGGGTAATACTAGTATCCTCTACTTATGGTGGTAAACATACACCTGGCAATAGGGCGGTAAACAGTAAGTACACGCCGGATAGTAATTCTACAACAGGAAGAAAGGAGATGGCTGTGAATACAGTCTAATGTCGAGCCAGACGAGCCTCGGCCTGGACGAGGTCGACACGACGACAGGCGCGAGGTCGAAGTGACAACTGCGAACAGAGCGTGATCCGCGAACGCCACGGATGGCAGACCTGGCGAGAGGAAATGCCAAGCAGCACCGCAGCCAAACCACAACAGAAGGACCAATTAGAACGCGTTCAGCGACGAGCAACCCGTATCTGCTTGCGGATCCCCTTTTTGCACCAGTCCATCACAGCTCACTTCTTCATCATCTCCAACTCCCCACATTAGTCTCCCGGCAACTCTTACGACAGGTTACTCTTGCCCACAACATCAAGTACATCCGCGCTCCCCTTCACCTCCCCGTCATTTTATTGGGTCGTCATCCCGTTTGAATGTGCGAAGTGAAATAAAAACCAACCAACTAACCAACCACCTGCAACAGCCTCATCGTGCACGACCAATCACAGAGCAGCCATATGCACTACGACACATGAGAACATACACATTGAGAACATCACACACATACCGACACACCAACTCACCCATCAACCTGTCCCTTCACAATTTCAACCAACTACCCCCCGACCTGCGTGAAACAAAATTTAATAGCAAGCATGCGTTTAAATCAATGGCGTCTAGCCTCATTCTATCATCCATATGCTCCTGTAGTAGCTCACACTGTACCCCATCGTAACCCCATCCCCCTGCAATGTGTTGGTTTCCTTACTTGCTAGACTGATTTTATATGATTCTGGACTGATTTGAATCATATTATCTTCCTTATTGGCCATGGGCCATCGTGGAAATAAAGAATAATAATATAACGGTGTGAAAGAGCCATGCTCGACTTCATTGACACGTTCGCCGTTGACACGCTTCTTCTCGCCTGCAAACCTTCGGTAGAGGGAGGGGAGGGATTTGGCACGATATAGCTTGATGCGTGGGGATAAAACACCCTAGTGTCGAAGAATGCGTAGCGGCTATCGGTCTAGAATCCCTTCACCTGCAGGCCGGGACGGGCATCAGGATCAGTGTTGGCTGACCGATGGTGAAGGGTTTCGCCAGTTAGGGGCTGCAATGGTGGCTCCACCTCCACATCGTGCCAGGTTTGCACAGCATGCGTACTTTTTGTAGCACCGCACAATGTCATGCAAATTTCGCGCGAAAGCATTCACGTGACAGGACTCTAGATTTTTCATGTTTTGTTTTGACAAGTAACAGTTTAGAATAGTGGCAGACCCGGGTCAACTCTCTTCATGATCATTCATGTAACGTTAACACCCCACCTACATGTATATATTTGCTGGAGTATTATAACGCGCACCTGAGCATACTTGCCATATGCTTTTGAAACGATATTCTACATTCTAGTAATGCACTTCAAGCAAGTACTTCCAAAGTAGAAAAAGCAAAGCAACGAAATGTTAAACCGTTGACAAATGTAGCAAAAAAAACTCTTGATAATCCATATACTCATTCTAGAATAATATTCTAGCATCTCCTATTTCATTCATAGGTAAATTGAGTATGCTGCCACTCTTGCACTATTGATGTCATTCACAGCAATGAATATAGTTTATCATACGTTGAAGGGATAGGTATTCTATTGTGAGTTTGAAGTAAATGTACGTACATGCCCTAGCTAAATCGAGGAGAAATAGCCTCTTTCTGATAAAGATTCAGTTACTTGCTGCATTTCAATGCGTTAGGCTTAGTTCAGCAAGGGATGACACATTTGGATTACGGCTGAAGCGGCGCAGTCCCCGTGAGCCAATCGGTGCAATATCCTTCTCCAGGCTACGGCGTTGCTTGAGCTGTCGTTTCCACAATAGTGCCATCTCTCTGGTCTCCGCAGACATTGTGTCATCCGTCTCTCCTGGTTCTTGCAGTCCCTATAGTAGAGAGCAGACCAACCAGGGCAAGACACAATGCATGAACCAGGGCAAGACACAATGCATGAACCAGGGCAAGACACAATGCATGAACCAGGGCAAGGCACAATGCATGATACCAACCAGGGCAAGGCACAATGCATGATGACTCAAGTACAAAACAGCACTGATTCAAAGTTCATCACCACCCAAGTGAGAATGACACTTTGCCATTCATCTATGTAACACCGATAGCTGTACATTAGGGATTTGTAATATCCTGCGACATGACATAGGTTGGTGGAACCTAACCGATGCCCAGCGGCCCGGTCTAGTCGGGCTACCCACTGCAATAACCCTTGAGGCAGGGCTGTTTGCATATGTGTTGCAGACCATTGGTGGCCTGGGCTGTATTTGATGTCAGCAGTCCTTGACCGTTTATAATGCAGAGAGTTTACCATAGGTTCCAAATTCTCCCTGTTATACAATATCAGTTTTGTGTCTGAGAGTGCAATCGCTTAGTTTCTAGGTGTATGTTAGGCTCAGAGCATTCACATTATCCCAAAGTAAGTAATCCCTGCACCCTAGTCAGTAGTGGACTGCAGAGGTGTACAGGTAGAGACTCAATTCGTTACTGCGCCGGTACTTCAAAATTACCTTCATGCAGGCTGCCTGCGATGCTCTCATCGCCCTCATGACTGTCTGCATGAGATTCTGTGCATTCTTCACCAGCATAGCATCAGCCTAACAGTGTGAAAAGAAACAGACAACGATACACACGCACACAGCATCATGATCACCATGGCATCATGATCACCATGGCATCATGATCACCATGGCATCATGATCACCATGGCATCATGATCACCATGGCATCATGATCACCATGGCATCGGCACTGGCGGCATGCAATGAGAATGGTCACAACACTATATACCGTACATATGCTGACAGCTATGAAAATTAGCCAGTTCAGTAGGTACCATAGTGTACAATCATGTTTTATGTGTAACTGTTACCATGGCAGGGGGGGGGGGTGACCTTGCCTGCTGTCAAGTCTGTTGCGACAGCATTGCTAGCAACAGTGAATGTGCGTATCTCACTGCAAAGCAGCCGACTGGGTACTCAGCACACCGGCCCAGTGCATAGTCAGTCATAGGTAGACATTTCAAATACACGCAATGGCTTTGTACAGTCTGAGCGCACCTACTCATATCATGTACACTGTACAATGTAGGTACCAACGTAACCGATGTGTGCATGTGTGCATGTGTGCATGAATTGCGCAAAACCGACATACGTAGTAAAAACCAGACAGTCAATGTGACCACTCTGATAAGGCTGCTGCCACCTGTCCCACAGATGACCAGTGGCACTACAACTTTAACCAAGGGGTGCTTTTTCCAGGCAAGTGACTCTGGATAAGGACACTGCGTGTCCACAAGTATCACATTTTGAAGGTCCCTCGACTCGGGGCCCGCTTGCGCAAACATGTGTTCATGATCACAGTAGTCACACAGTACTACACAGTTTCTTTGGTAATGGTGTTTCATTTACTTTTGTATTTTCAGTTCGTTTTCTTTGTATTTAACTCCTCATTGTTTTTTTACCAGGCGTGGGCCATCCCCTGACTTCATAGGTGCCAAACATTTTACGTTTTTCATTTCTATTTTGAGAGTTTAATAAAAAATATTTTTCGCGGTACTACAGTACTACAGTAGTCACACAGTACTACAGTACTACAGTAGTCACACAGTACTACAGTACTACAGTACTACAGTACTACAGTAGTCACACAGTACTACAGTACTGCTGTAGTACTGTAGTACTGTAGTCACACAGTACTACTGTAGTACAGTCCTGCTGTAGTGAGTGCTGCACTGTACACTAGTCACAGCAACTTACAGACGTGTCGCGATCGCGTGGTGATGAAGCCGCAGACTTGACTGATGCCAGGATGCTAAGCTGGGTACTGAATGTCGGTATGACCTCGGCACAGTCCAGCAGCTCAGCCCTCATTCTCCAGTCGGTTGTCTGTTCGGCCATGTGCTGTGCATAGCGCACTACGGCACCACTATCCATTGCAATCTTGCGGGCCATGTCTATCATCTCGCTCTTTGACTGATAAAGCAGAGCAGCAGTCCAAACAAAACAACACAGAGAAACGTGAGTACGATGAAGTAACAGTTGTATCCTCCACCTACTCACACCTCTACTTGGCTAACTGTTATGACTGATAACCATTTTAAAATTAAATTAGTTTTTACATCCCGTTTGTCAGCAGAAAGAAGGATCCTAACGCACACAAGCAAGAAACAATTTACAGATAGTGGCCCCAGGCTGGTTGCATGTGCAGTTCAATCACAAATGTCCTAATGCTATGTCTAACGTCGGGACAGTAGTATCTCTAATTGTGAAGTGTGACCGTACACTGAATTATCAGGTTTTCTCACCTGTATGGGGCCCTTGCGGCGTGTGAACTGAGCCATCTGGTACATCTGCTGTGACATGTTCTTGGCTAGGCGTACGAGCGAGTTGCTCTCCTCATCAAACTTGCTGGCTTCATCATGCAGTGTGCGAGCTGCAATCTGTGTGCGTATGTATGTGGAGCAATACGGGTATAAACAACTTTGTGTTTGTCTGGCATCAACAGACACTGCCGGATATTAAGGCTTGCAAATGAAGAACGGGTACATACATAAGCTTGGACAAGCACTTCATTGTGTTTCAGATGGTATGTCAACACAACAATTTTCGTAACTCTGTTGAAACAAGAATGAACAGTGGGGAAGCACGGATGCAAAGTCATATCATTGCCTCATGCACCGAGGACTTGAGATCCTGTTGGAGCCACAGTATTTGCAAGTTGAGATACTTGCGGTATCACTTACAATGATGGATCGCGACGTAGGTGGCTGATCAGCTTGGTCATCTAGCCATGTACTCGCCGAAGCAACTGAGTAGTTCTCCGATTGTTGAGTCATATCCAGAGATGCATCTTCATCGATGTCTGGTAGCGTGTGCTGTTTGGATTTGTGATGTGGCGTGCTAGTTATCTGCAAGCACAATCACCAGCATACAAGTAGCATCACGCCGTGGCCGGCTCTCATCTTGGTGCACACCGACAACTGAAGAAAGGGCCTTGCATGCAACAAAGAAGACAGTAGTTGTGGGTGAACACTTGCTCGCTACCTGTATGACATGATGCCATACAACTGTGCAAGCAAGCAGCCATCATCAGGCCGCACCATAACACCTGACAACATTATCCTTCAACTTTCTATTTAAAACCTTACTTGGTCCATTCGTGGAGGACTGAACACCCCGGATTCATTTCTTTGCTGCCGATCACCTGGAATAGGTGATAACCTACACACACACACATGAACACACATGAACACACATGAACACACATGAACACACACATGAACACACATGAACACACATGAACACAGATGAGCACAATACAGGAGTGCATGTAGCCGAGTCCAGTAGGTACATTTCCGAAATGCTAACTAACATCAGATACTCTGTAATACTATTTTCTTTGTGTTGCGACTGCACAACCTATGCAATCATTGTATGTGTCTGGACTTCTAAAGCCAGAGTCCAAACCTGGTAGTACTGAAGTACCACTTACATGCTGTCATCTCCAAACTCATTGTTCAGGTCTAGCTGTTGTTCTTCAGCTCTGCAGTATAGAACACAACAGAGCACAATCAGCCCACACACATATCAGATACTGATGTGGGTTGAAAGAGCACCATGCCGCACATGCCGCACACAGGGTACCATGCATGCCGGTGCATGTTGCAACAAAGTTGACAGCACACCGCATTCGGAATGTCCATGCATCCTCTACAACACTATTCCACAGATCTCTAGTTCAGGACAAGGCTTATCATCTCCCAGTAACACATGGCTAGTATAAGGACAACAACTGATAGCTACAGTGCATGGAATCTAAGCACTGATGCTACACAGACGGCGGACAGTGCATGTGTGTTGTACTTACAGCTCAGCCTCTTCTTCACTGACATCACTCACACCAAGAACATCATCTTGAATATCTGCAATCAACAGTACACGCGTACACAGATTGATATCTGTGACTGGGGACCTAATCACAGGCTTAGTGGTGATGAAGTCAGTAAAGCAACTGCACCCTCTCAGGAACAGTACTGTTTAATTGTCCGTAAACTCCAACGCAGACACAAAACATTGTCTTCACTGCAAGTATCTTTTAAATTCACCAACATTTTCAGCCTGGCCCATCAGCACAGTTTCACAGTATTTTCCTTAAAAAAAAAGTAGCTGGATGCCTTTGTTGGAATTACTACTAGTAGTGCACCAGCGGCTATGGATGGTGATGTGCTGCAGATGATGGTATGATATCAAACCATGGGATGACTTCATTGGGCGTTTCCTGTCACTGTTGAAGCTTGATGATAATGTACACAGTACGGCCTTGCACTTTGCACCGTGATTAGCGTTACCGGCATTACCACCCAGTGACAGGCACTGTACAGCAATGATGTCACAGTGTAGTGCATATTGCCATATGTGACCCATAGTCAAATCTTAAAGACCCCCTGTCCTACCTGCGGCTAACTCTGGATCAGAATCGGCCATGTTCTTCAACAGAGCACTGAGATGAGCGGTCTTCGCCACCCAACAGCGGCGAGCGTGTTGAAATTGCTGAACAGCAAGTCGATCGGGCTGGTCTGAAATCAACACAACAAAAGATTGGCAAAGAGGTCACTCTGGTCTGATGATGTTCCTCAGCCGTGAATGTGGCAGTCATACATGTACAGCATGCTGCCCTCCTCAGCTCCTCGGCTACACATACAGTAGTGCTGTCTTTTGCTGCAGCAGCAGATGGGCACATAGAGCCACCACACATAGAGCCACCACACATAGAGCCACCACTGAAGAACTGTTAAAACTGTTAAAAGTAAGCTGTACTCGTACACGTTTGCTTTGGTTTTTATTATTTCAGTTCGTTGCCTCAACAGTACAAAGTACAAATATCAAGAGGGACGAGTGACAATCTTACCCAGCTACATGCATGAACACATAGGGACATCCGCAAGGTGGATTTCAAAACATACCTGCAATGCAATGAGCAGCCTTGACAAGCAGTGGGACGGTCTGAGACAAGCTCTGGGCACAGGAATTGGCCTCATGGCTTCGCACTCGGTCCTTGGACACCGAGGCAAACTTCTTCACCTTGGTCAGCACTCGCTTTGCTCTCTGCTTGATGTCTTCTTCCTGGAAGCGGAGAACCTTGATACGCTGAACTCTCTCCTCAGCTGGGGGGAGGGGGGGGGGGGAGAAAAGACAACAAACATGGAACTTGAAATAACGTTAAAGCATGACATGAATACCGTGTACTTGGGCGTGGCCCTCGTGCTGTGTATGCACCTGCTAATGTGGACACGGAAATAGACATCCGGTACTGCTTTTTCACTGTTCCGGCACACACATACACTATAGCTGCGCCTGGTGTACTTTGATTGTACACTGTACTGCGTTACCACTGCTGAGTCTAGCAGGCCACCTTGGAGAAACGGCAAACAGACTACAATAAACAGACTACAATAGCCTGCTCGTAACCTGTACAAACACCAATGTTACCTCATAGCTCCTATATAAGTAGTACAGGATTGTGCCGGACCAGCAGTGGAGTAGATGATGGCTTACCTGTACATTTGCTGACAGCGAGGGCTGCACCAGCAAGGCGATCCATTGGTGTGCCCAGTTCCGATGTCATCTCATCCACTAATATCGATATCATGTGAATCTGAAACATCAGAAGGAGGAATCCGCTTGGTTTGGAGCTCAATGAAACTGCTTTAGAAGGTGTTGGCAGCATCGTTTAGCTCTGAAACCACTTGTAGAAGTTGGCTGACTTCTGAAATGAAAACCAATCCTATGCAGTTGTGTGCCTGTGTGCCTGTGTGTGTGTGTGTGTGTTGGCAAAGTTACTCCAATTTCACCTCAAGGTACCAGTGCATCTAGTGTCTGCTTCTATCAAAGCAGTGTGCTGTCTATACTGGCTCATCTAATGTAGGGTGTGCATAGGTAACTGTATTGGCTGTCCCATTCTGATGTACTCTTCGTGGTGTAGACCGGGTGTGGATTGGGGATCGATCCACATGGCTTCACGAGATGTGTGGATTAGGCAGTTATCTGGCACTAGTCTTGATCTGTTTCATTCAGATCCTGTCCACTAGCATTGCTATAAGAGAAAATCGGTGGGTGTACATCCAGTGCATATGCAGTTTTGCATGATTATCTTGCGACGGGCATACATGTACATGGTACATGATGGTCACATAATATATATATTATATATATAGATTGAGTATATTATATATATATATATATGTGTGTGTGTGTGTGTGTGTGTGTGTGTGTGTGTGTGTGTATGTGTGTGTGTGTGTGTGTGTGTGTGTGTGTGTGTGTGTGTGTGTGTGTGTGTGTGTGCGTGCGTGTGTGTGTTTATAGCAGCGCACACCCTACAGCTGGCAACATTAAGCTACTCAGTTAATGATGTATGTAATGTCTTGCAAGTAAGCTCCATCAACACTGACAACAGGTTATTAATTGCCACCATGTTAGTTACAACAATCCAGACCTTCGCATTCCACTCTCTGGCCTTGACTTCCAGCAGCTCCAAGCTGATCAGGTGCTTGTCATTCGCTTCACCAGTCTCCATCCTTGGCCTCTCCTTCACGGCATCTTGAGCTGTGTTTTGCAAGGAGAGGCTGATCGACTTCAATAGCACAGCTGAGGCCTTTAGGTGCTCCACATCCTCTTGTGTTCCCACCCCACTGTTGCAAAGAGCAAGCCGAGGGAAAGTAGTAATGTTGTTGGGCAAAGCTTCAATTTAAAAGCGTCGAGCTGGACGCCAAACACCAGATAGTGCTACCGTGGGTTCGTGTATGTGAAAGAGATTGGGATATGAACTGTTATCGACAAAGAGCACAGCCGATGCGCCTCCAGCATCGCCCTATTGAAGCCCCTTGCTTAGACAGTTTACTTCCTTTGCTCACTACCGGGGTGATAGGCTGTGTTTACATGAGGCGTTTCAACCCGGGTTGGGTTCGACCCGGGTCAGATTTCAACCCGCCATGTACACAAAATGAATGGCGCGTTTACATGACGCATTGCGCTTGACCCGGGTTGAAATTTCGCCCGGGGTTGATTTCAACCCTCCCCCCCCCCCCCAGGGGAGGGTTGAAATCAACCCGGGTCAAGAAAATCGTACAAACGTACTTCTGTGCGTATCTCGCGCCAGGTTTGAACAGCACTGCACATGCAAATTTCGCGCGAACGGATTCACGTGACCATACAGGACTCTAGAAGTGGACTTTTGGCGGCATATCAGTATTTGACCCGGGTCAACTGTCTTCATGTAAACGCTCACCTATTTTGTCTATCGTACAGACTTTCGACCCGGGCTGAACTCGACCCGGGTTGAAATTTCTCATGTAAACACAGCCATAGTCAGATTACCAGTAGTTGACATACATGTATTCCAGCCAACACAGTCATGAGCAGTTGTCAATCCTAGTAGGGGATTCACATGACGCATAAGAAAACCTGATGTCATGGGACAAGGTTAAAGTAAATAAAGACAGTCGGGCAACCGAGTGTGGTGCTTTATGTAGTCTTGATATCAGCGTACAGCAGTTGTACGTGTCGGTCCACCACATGCTGAAGTAGAAAATTGACCGGGTATCAGTACTGAAAGATTCGTAATGCTTCATGCAAACAAAACATATGCACACATGCAGCATCAAGTTTCACAACTTTCCTTCATTGAGGATCAGGGGCTGCGCGAACGCATACCCCCTCTACAAGAAATTGTGCACCCGGCTTTCCCACGTTTGGGGAATCCGCAGGCCTCAGCCCCAACTGAGTGCAATGGAGGGGCCTCATCCTGAGGGAGCCGCCTTCTTGATCACGGCGTCCCCCGTGCAAGGTAAGTATGAAGTGAGTCAAGTAGTTGTGCACATATATGGGCATATCCGGCCCTCAGTGGCACTAGCTACAAACTTCGCAGGGCGAGGGAAATTGGGCTAAACACGGAAACATTCACCACTATATACATGTACATCGTACATACGCCTTTTGTAACGCTAGTTCTTAGACATGTGCTACCGTGCGTAGAGTTGCTATGGCAACGTCGGCATTGACAACGAACAAGAAACTGGTTCATCTTTAATAGCATGCTTAGAAAAACCATACAACCATTGTTCTTCATTTTAAGGTGTTGGACCATGACCCACCAATGCGATGCACTCGTTCAGCTTATAACAAGTTTGTGTTTCCATGGAAACAGGTGAATATTGGCAAGAGCACATGAAACCTAGAATGAGCAGCTTGTGACTTGTTCTGCAAAAGCGTTCGTCACGATTTTTCGCTTGCCAGCTAACTTCTCTGCACTCCAACTTTCCCCTGTTGGTGTCACGTCCCAGTACACAACGGAGAGGACTACTCGTACTGATAAACAGTTCACGGGAATCGCGGCACTAACAGCATTGAACACAGCACTTCTTTCACTTCATGAATACAATAAGACAACTGAAAATGACAACATTCTGCAGTGTTCGACTTTCTCTCTCACAGAGCTAAGCAGAATGTGCGTCATCACCTGTAGTCGCCATGGAAACGCAATCAGAAAATCGGCAATATGGCAAGTTTGCAATATTGTACGGAGGCGAGAGGTATACCATCGGAACCGATATCAAATTGTCTTCCATGTTCAGCTCACTCAGACCTTCCAACAAGTTCAAGTTACGACTTCTAATAGGGCTCGAGGGTGCTCCATCACAGCCAGGCCAGAGCGTTGACCTTTGGAGTCTCTTACAGTGGTCCAGTTATGTATGGGCGCATACACGTTTGGGGCAGCTTTCTCCACATCAGGATGACACATTGTGAGCACGACACACACACACAAAACAACACACTCTCTCTCTCTTTCGGCTAACAGACAACAATCCAGAAGGGATATTATCCTTGTCGTTGTGTCTCCTTTACACAATACATGACACTATAGTCACAGTGTAGTACAATGTCAATATGTCCAGTACCCACCAGCACTTCACTTACCCACCAGCACTTCACTTACCCAGCAATCACGCTTGTGGCCATGTCCTGCAGAGTATTAGAGAAGTCGTGCAGGTCGTGTAGACACTGCTCTAGGTCCTGCCGATTGTGCACCGCTGTCCTAAGCGCTGGTGTGTGCTGCGTGGCAGACACGGTGACATCATCCACGAGCCGTGACAAGCGACACGCATGCACACCCCACTCACGGCATACTAAGTGCAAGTGCTCCGCTGTCAGAGCTGTTCCTGTACACCCGAGCAGAGGAACACCAGTGAGCAGCTCTTAGAAATGCGGGATGGAGGGGCAGGGGGGCATATATCCTCCTACTCAACTAATGTTATGCACCTTCCCTTCGGAATTCCATCAGTGATGTGTGAACTATAAAGAGAGAACAAACTACTGATATGTCCTTACCTGACTGGACTGCAGACTTGGCAGCGCGGATCAGTTCCCCCGTGCAGTTGGCCAAACCTTCACCCATCGATGCGACCAGTTTGTGACATTGCGCAGCCTCCTTCTGCTCTGGACCTGACGCAAACTCTTGGAGTGAAGATGCGTCATACTCTCCTGCCTCCAGCGCAGCATTTGCCATGGCCTGGATTTGATCAGTCAGTCGCCGTATCTCCGGAGCCTTGATCATTGACCAGGCACACACACACATGTACATACACGAACATATAAATGAGTAAATACTCAATGATGCAGACAGCCAGACTATTTCGGCCAATGAGTAAATACATAAACGCATACGTATACACAGCCATGAATACAGTGATAGTCATACACACACATGAGCCAAAGAGCAGGCATCGGCAGCAGATAGTGTTGAACAGAGCCAAAAAAGTTGAAATAACGTTACATGCAACGAACATGCCTAAGGGACCATCGCAAAAGTTCGCAGAAGCCCCCGAAACGAAGACCGTGAGTTTCGGGCCTGACCCCCCTCCCTCCCCCCTCAAACGAAACGACAGTCACAATATGGGCTTCATTATTTCACTTGGATGCTGCACACATAATAATTATTATAATATACTACACAGCAGGGGTTCATAAACCCTATGAACCCCTGCTAGTACTAGTACTAGCAAGAGTCCATAAACCACGCGTTTTATGGACTCTTGGTACTAGACTACACACAGTGTACAGGCAGCCAGCTACGCGACACGCGCAGTTGCAAGAATGGTCTACGCGTCCTGACAAGCGATCTACGCCGGCTGTGATGGCATGCTAATCTATCAGCTCCTACATGTCGTCAATACTTTTTTGAATTGAAGCCCGGTTTGCGATTTTCGACACGACTCCCTCCCCCCCCCCCCCCCCCCCCCCCAAACGTATGCTCTTCGTTTCAGGGGCTTCTGCGAACTTTTGCGATGGTCCCTAAGCAGGAACTGGAGGAAGGGGAGATCACGATTTGAACGGCATGGATTCAAAGTTTCAAACCATCTAAACTGAGCAGATATCCTGGGGTTTGTCTCACCTTAGCTTCCACAGTTCCTCGTTCATGCAATGAGTTCTTTGCCAGCTTCATGGCAGTGGCTGCCCAGGGCATGATGAAATCGTCAATAGTGGTCGATATCATTTGAACATGTTGTGCCCAGACCTTGGAATCGACCTGTAACTGATTAACATTGGGTGTTTGAATCGGCGAAGACAGGGCAATGCCTCCTTCTTCACAGACGATCAGAGCAGCTGATTGAAGTTGTGGAGATATCTTTGCCAACTGGGTCATAGATGTTCTCAACATACTGGATAAAAACAGGGAAGGAAGTAGACATAGTCAGGTAGTCAGGTACAGTATTGGGAGACTGTCAGTTAGACCCGCTCAGGTACAATGAAGGTAGGAGCATGGCCATTGCTATTCCAATGTCATCATGACGTGTACTGTTAGTGTTCTAGGCTGCAATGTCTGCCAGACCGCTTCCAAATATGGACATTCTCATGAGCCGTGATTCATGCATGTAACCAGGGTAACTGTCATACTCATAGCGTAGGTCTTTTGACAGGACATACAGTGTCAGTCTTGTTCTTTGCCTTTGATCCTGTTCTGGGATACCAGTAACATTGATATACTTTGGGCGCATTCAGACTACCGATAACAAAGGAATTTTTTCGAATCGCAGGGGGTGGTTGACGTTTTTGGTGCTCCTCGGAACAGCTTTCCGGGAGCCCCCCGCAGCAGTTTTACCCTTCTACCTTTGTCCTTGCTGAAACTAAGAATGTCCCTGGACCAGAACCTTGATCTTGCCCTGATCGGGTACCAGGAACTAATCGCCATCGCTGAACGCAAGTCCCTGGACTCCCCTTCGAGCCTCGCCCGGCCAGAGCTGGTGCAGGCACTGCGGAAGCACGGCGTTGGAGGGAAGCCCGTCACTGACACCGGTACGTCGTGGATTAATGACTCTAAGCTAGATAGCCTTGCTAACACTATCCAGGCCTTGGCGGGGGAGATTGCCTCCATGAGGGAGGACAGGGATAGCATAATTTTGTCCTTGAAGCTGGAAATTTCGGAGCTGAAGGGGGAAGTGCAACAGCTTCACCAGCAGCAGTACAATGGTTCATCCAAGCCCGTACACTGCGACACTCCAGACATGCAATCCCGTTGTACTCGTACAGTGAGTACGAATAGCACACAGCCAGAAGAGGATGCACGCACTCTACACAGCAGGTCAACTAGCACTAGCAGGGCCACCGTACCTAACACCAACCACATGGAACGCAGGAACATACCCGTACACACTGGTAGAAATGCAACAACTGGGGGCGCACTTACAACAGCAGGCGCCGGTGGTGCACCAGTACAGCCCACATGTACTCAGGGTGCTGCTGGGAGCACAGAAGGCGATCCCCATCAGAACAACTGGCAAGAACAGCGGCGAAGGAGCAATAAATCAGCGGCCCACAGCGATCCCATTGCCCGGGCAACAAAATCCAAAGTTGTGTCTGTCTACAGAAAAATGGCCACAGAAAACCCCAACCCCAACACACTCACTGGCACACATCTTCCCAAGCGATGTGCCTTCTTTGTGGGGAATGTTAGCCCTGGAAGTAAGGCACAGTCCATTGTCACCTGGTGCGCTGATAGGGGCGTTGATGTATACGCATGCACAATTGCCGAAACCCAATACTTTGGTACCTGCTATGCACGCGTTTCTGTCGCGGAAGAGTTTGAGCAAACGCTGCTTGACAAGGAATTCTGGCCCGACACCATTGCGCACACCGTCCGCAAATGGCGCTATGCCGACTCCGCTAGCAAGTGATGGGTCCTCGGTCACCTAGCCAACAGCTAAATCCTCTTGCCCAACCCTTTGTGCCCCACGCAAGTTCATCACACCCTTCCCCTCATTGCGTTACATATTCTTCTATATCTAGTGGTCATATTCCACTTGCACCACCATTCCTTCCTGATTCTGGACGACAAACTACTAAAACTCCTAATCAACAGCAGCTCCACGACGCCCCCTACCACAAACTAATGTCGGTCTTCACCCCGTTGAGCGCTCATGCTTTCCCGTTTCTCCCGGACCACGCACATTCTATTAACATTGTAACTATCAACTGTCGCTCTGTAACAAACAAACTTCCGGAATTGTACGCAATATGTCAGGCCAACAAGCCCACCATAATATGTTTAACAGAAACCTGGCTAAGCCCGTCACTTTCATTCAGTGTTCCAGGCTACACATGCTTCCGTAAAGACAGATCTACACATAAGAACCTGAGATCAAACCTACGTGGATATGGTGGCGTGGCCATTCTCATACGTGATGGGACATTTCCACATTGCACCCGTCGCCATGACCTTGATTCTCCCCAAAGCGAGGCCTTATGGCTTGAGCTTGGTGCACCGGCAGGTCTCCGGGCCAATCCGCTACTCATTTGCTGTCATTACCGCCCCCCCTTCACAATCCCTTCTTGATATCACCTCCTTTTGCGACATACTTACCGACACGCTGTGTTCCTTGGACCTCTCTTTATTTGATGTTTTTCTTACCGGTGACTACAATGCCCACAATTCTGACTGGTGGAGTGGTGACACCACATCGCGTGCTGGTACGGAGCTATCACACGTGTTCTCTAGCTTTGGCCTCCAGCAGCTTGTCAATTTCCCTACCCGTGTCGCTCCGAATGGAAGACTGTCCTGTCTGGACTTGCTTGCTACGAACCGCCCCCTCTCTGTACGCTCTGTTGACGATGCTGCCCCGCTTGCTGCATCGGATCATTTGCAAGTCATTACAACGCTAGCCTACAACATTGCCACTGCTAACACCTCTTACAACTGCTCTCAGACTCCTACCCCTCCGCGACATGCCTTCCGCAAGGTTACACCCTCCACTTGGTCAATCATCAACTCTGCACTTTTTGCCTGTGACTGGCATCTTTTATTCACCTCCACTACTGTTGATGAAGCTGTGGAGAAGTTCACCACAGTTCTTGATGACGTGCTCTCCTTCTATGTGCCACAATACGGAGCAAGACCCGCTACACCCAAACATGGCAGCCACCACCCTCGTCAGTCCAGCCGTAACCCCAAGATCCCTTGGCTCGACAAAGATCTCCAAGGTGCAATTAAACTCAAATACGACTACTATAGCTTAAGTAAGAAGTACTCCACCTATGCTAATATTTCTTTATACAAAAAACAGCGCAATCTGGTGAAGTCATTGTCACGTTCTAAGTATCGAGCATATTTACGTTCGCTCACTACCACCCTATCTCACCCCTCTTCCAGGCCTAACCTGTATACCTTTGTTCGCACTCAAAGGACAACTAGTACACGTCAAGACATACCACCGTTATTAGCTTCCAATGGTTCGATGGTGACTGACCCCAAGTCTATAGCTAATACTCTCAACACGCAATTCACATCAGCTGGTATTCCAGACGACCATTCCTCTCCAATACCACCTCTGCAACGTTCTGCGACTGTGTCTTCTGATCTGCGCTCTATACATACCACCACATCATCTGTTCGCACCTACCTAAAAAGACTAAAAAGCAACAAAAGCCCTGGTCCTGATGCCCTACCAAATGAAGTTCTCAAAGTTCTGGCTCCATCTCTGGCGTACCCACTGTGCCTTATATTCAACCTTTCCTACTCCTCCGGCGTATTTCCTGATCGTTGGAAGATCGCTAAGGTCACGCCCATCTACAAGTGTAAAGGCTCCCGATCACAAGCCTCAAACTATCGTCCAATATCTCTTCTCTGCTCCCTTTCAAAAGTATGTGAAAAGGTATTTTACGACCAGTTGTATTGCCACATTTCACCATGCCTTAGCCCTTCCCAATCTGGCTTTCGGCGCAACGACTCAACCTCTGACCAACTAGCTCGTCTAGTACAAGACATTGCCACCCTTCGTGATGCTCGACACCATATTGCTCTCTGTTTCTTTGACTTGGCAAAGGCCTTTGATACTGTCTGGCATCGTGGCCTCCTTGCCAAGCTACATATTGTCTTTGGTGTGTCTGGCCCTGCTCTGTCCTGGCTGGAGTCCTATCTGAGTAGCCGATCACAGTTTGTTTCTGCCCTCTCCATCAACTCTGATCCTCTACCAGTGTCTTCTGGAGTTCCCCAAGGCTCCATACTTGGACCTCTTTTGTTCGTAGCATACGTAAATGATTTACCCTCTATAGACCCAGGTGTCTCATTATTTGCTGATGATACAACCCTACTGTCAGCATCCTCGTCCTCAGCGGCTCTTGTACCTCGAGTGTCGGCTCAGATATGCAGTGTCCTACGCTGGATGCAAACATGGCGACTTAGACCCAACCTGACTAAAACCGAAATAATGTTCCTTCCCCCAATCTCATCCATGTCACTTTTACACCATCCTGATTTCCCAGAACCCATAAAGGTTGTTTCCAACCATGAACACCTGGGAATAATGCTTGATGATCGTCTCTCTTGGTCTTTCCATATTGATGCTCTTTGCAGCCGTTCAAGCTCTGCCCTAGGTGTTATACGTCCCCATTGTTTCCATCTTCCTTTCAAATGTAAAATTTTGTTTTACAAACTGTACATCCTGCCTCTTTTCATGTACGCTGCTGTTAGCTGGTGTGGCTTGTCCTCGGTTCTCGCTGAGCATCTCGAAATCCACCATAGAAAACTTCTTCGTATCCTGTTTAGTCTACCCCCTCTCTACTCTTCTGCTTCCCTGTATGTCCTTGCAAATGCTTGCCCACTGTCGACCCACCGTCAAAAAAATTAATTTGCACTTTTGCTCACAAATTTAAACTAGCTCTACATCCTCCTCATCTTAACGTGTATAACTGGTTCCGAATCACAGATGGCTCCCAGACAAGATGCTCTGTTGCCCTCCCCTTGGCTAAAACGTCGTCCCTTGTACGCTCTCCACTCTTTGTTGCTTACTCTGCTTGGCTTGCGCTGCCCGCTACTACGCGCAATGCCAGTACCCTGGACGCATTTAAATCTGCTCACTAGATTCACCATCACCTGTCCCTCCCATGCTTCTCCGTCTTGACCATTACTTTTCTTCTTTTATTCACCATGGTTGGTTAACACCCACATCTCCCGTACTGGCTGATTTTCTTCTCATGCCATGAGGTGTTGTCTATAATAATAATAATAATAATAATAATAATAATAAGTGACGGAATGGAAAAGTCTCCAAGGTGATTTGATCACGTGACATTCCTGGCACTTCGCAGGCGGAAATGTTTTACTGCTGTGGCTGCTGCTGCTGCGGAAACAGTATTCCGGCAGTAAAACAAGGTGCTCAGAATGGGAGTAGGGGAACTCCCTTCTCAGTGCCGCGGTGAGAGATGCACAAGTAAACGTTAGTTTACCGGTAGCGCGGATGTCCTCCATGGATCGCCATTCATGGTTTGACGGGGTTCTCGGTAGTCTGAATGCGCCCTTATGGAGTAGTGTTCCAGTCCATGCACTTATGCACCCATGCACTCCGCACGTATGAATCCATGAATCCATGGACCCATGCACTCTTGCACCCATGCACCCTGCACCAGTGTACCCATGAACCCGTGTACCCGTGCAGTTCAGTGCAGTGCACTGGGTACAGTCTGCATGTGGTACATATGAACATGCACTGCTTGGAGAGTGGAAATCCTTGGGAACACAAACACATCACGCTTTGCAGGTACACTTGGAGTATCATGCACTCTTAAACTGCTTGCAATGTGTATGATGACTGTGCCGAGAAGGGGATTTCTGGGCAATCTGGAAACACTGCCGGTTGCATGCTGCTATTCTTGAACAACTTCCTCATTCACCAGTGAAATCATCAGGCTTTGGAGCTATCACTTAATTGCAGTCTGATCTGCTGCTGTATTACCTGGTACAAAGGCCAGGCCAGAACGATAAACATCCCACAGAGGGGATGGGGATGGGAGGGAGGGAGGGGGGGGGGGTAGAATACTAAGAATACCCTTAGGACTAACCGTATCTCATCAAGGTTGTCATCATTCGAAAAGCAATCAATCCCAAGCTGTGCAAGTTTAACCAGACGATCGGTGTGTTCTTGAACACTGCGACACATAGACTTCACCTGTACACAATTGAAAGGACAAAAGCACATTAAAGGCCGGGGAAGTTATTATTATTTTGCTTGTTCGCGTTGGCATCAACCTGCATAAAGCAGGTATATAGCCTTCGCTTAAGCTGCCATAAAAAAGAAAGCTCATCCTAAGCGAGAGGGCTAGAGGAAAAGATAACGATAACGAGATACAGAATACAAAGAAATCCAATGAGTTAAACATACAATTCAAAACAAGAAAGAAAGAAAAGAAAAACAGAGCCGAAGCTACTAATCGGAGTTGCGAATGCGTTGGTACCGATTGATCCATCAATCGATAAAGTGGACTAATCCGTTAATATTGCAAAGTAGAAACTGATTGTAGTTGCAGATCTCCAGGGGAAGTATACCTTAAAATCAAATTTTCACCAGTTGTAGTCTTTGGGGTGCTGAGTCGAATGGTCTTGGTCCGAGGAAGCTGCGACGCTCCCTTCCTTCTTTTTTCCCAATCGAACTCGCGTACTTCCACCGAAACTGGGTGACTGCGCCCTACTAGATAGGGATTTGTATGCAAAATGTCACTAAAAGCGCCACGTCGTTCTTATAAAAGCACGGATGACCGCGATTGGCCCATATGTTGTAGTCTTTTGGACGCCGAGTCGACTGGTTTTGGTCCGAAAAGGCTGCGATGCAGCGTTCCTCCTTTATTCCCAAGCGAACATGGTTGAAGAAGCGGTCACGTGCTCCTGGGTGCCCAAATCACCTGGTCACCACGCCAGCAGGCGACAACTCTCACACCAAGGTTCAACTCGAGTTCAACTCGAGTGACAGGAGTGCACCCAAAAAAGGTCAAACAGGCTAGTAAGTTGTACCCTGCAGGCACGGTGACCAGGTGACTGGTGTACGCAGGAGCACGTGACCGCTTGTTCAACCATGTTCGATTGGGAATAAAGGAGGAACACTGCATCGCAGCCTTTTCGGACCAAAACCAGTCGACTCGGCGTCCAAAAGACTACAACATATGGGCCAATCGCGGTCATCCGTGCTTTTATAAGAACGACATGGCGCTTTTAGTGACATTTTGCATACAAATCCCCATCTAGTAGGGCGCAGTCACCCAGTTTCGGTGGAAGTGCGCGAGTTCGATTGGGAATAAAGGAGGAAAGGAGCGTCTCAGCTTCCTCGAACCAAGACCATTTGACTCAGCACCCCGAAGACTACAACTGATGAAAATTTGATTTTAGGGTATACTTCCCCTCTAACATGTAAGTTGAAGAAAGTCCTATTTTCCCACGTCATCACGTACTATCCTAGCAGCGATTTATCTGGAGCAGTACTACAATTGTACCTTAGCATTGATTGGTTTCGAACAGTACTACTTTAGCAGTGATTGGTTTCGAGCAGTACTACCCGGCTTAGCAGTGATTTGTCTGGAGCAGAAGGTGGTGAACTAAACCCGGTGTAGGTGTCTACACTATGATCAGTTGATATTCACATTGCACCACTACGGGGTAGTTTTGCTCATTCTATTCGCATGTCCACAATCTCTAACACCACTACAAACATTACCATGGCAACCACCGACACAGCTCTAACATACCTCCTCCATTTCCGGCTCTTGTTTGAGTGCGACTGCAGCCAGCGTTGTTCCAACCTGCCCTATAGTGGACTTATCTCTCTGAGTCTTGTCCAGATAGTCTACCCAGTTGACATGGCGATGTATTGGCTGCCTGTAGATGCGGTTTGTTGACTCGATTCGATGCAGGCGCTTTGAACGCAGCGTTTCCTGACAGTCATACAAAATAATGAAAAGCAATTGGCTGGTATAGGCACTACATTGAGAATGCATAGCAAGTCCCCGTGGCTTTATAACAGTGCAGTCGTGTACTGCATACTTGCTTCACACAATGAATGGTGCCTAGAACCCGTCTCAATTCTTGGTGCAATGCCCACGAATGATAATCATAATCAAGCTTTACAGATATTTTTACAACCTTTGAGGAAAGCAAAAAAACAAACAAACAGACAAAGCCAAGCAGCATGGTCTTGTGTCCTATCTGTCATGCACACTGTGCGTAGAGTTGCAGAACTGGGTCACCGAATAGTTCCCATGTAGTCATATTGGAGAAACGCCAGCAGTTCAACTTCTTTGTTGCTAAGCTCTACTGCTGCGACAAGACTCACTTACCGGTCCAAGTGACTCATCTTTGTTGTCAGTGGTGTCGCTGAATCGCACTCGTTGTGTGCGGTCTTTACTTAATTTGCGTTGCTGACCACCACGACCACCATGTGCCGTACTAGTCACTGAGGAGCTGGATGGTTGCTCTTGAATGGATGCTGACGATGGTGTACGCTTTTTCAACAGATGCCCAGCACCCGGTGTAGAAGTCCTTCTCTGTGTCTGTGTCTGTGTCTGCGTTGCTGTTGCTGTTGGTGTACTGGGTAATTTCCTGGACACTTTGCGAGGGGATGCCACTGGCTTGACATCCGCACTTACTGGTGTAGATGGTTGAGTCTCGGACACGTGAACTTCTTTGGATTTGCTCTTGTCCTTCGCCTTGCTGGCTGTGTTCATTGATACAACCCCAGAGCGGACCGCGCTACTGAGGTCAGTCACTCCCTGGTGAATACTCTGCGCAAACCTGGCTACTTCCCGCTCTGCTTGCTGGTCCAGCGGGTGAAGTTGGGCTCGCTTCACAGCTCCAATGAATTTAGGAATAGCTGCAAAGAAGGCAGGCATGTGCAGACAGGGTTGTTCAACATGGGATAGTTGATGTTCTGTGTTCAGCGAAAGGTGGCCAGGTAAACGGCCATTATTTTTTTTGTTAATTTTGTTTTTGATCAGACACATATTTCAAGATTTCCAACAGCAAATGGATGCCTATCAAACCTAGTCTTGCACCGAAGGAAAGGTGATAGGATAAATTGGTATGAGGGAGGGAAGAAGGGACACAATGCAAAGTAGCTACGATGCTAGCTAAGTATGTAGATACACACATCATTGCAAGTATGCATCACACCCTGCTCTCTTGAACTACACTAACCGCTATGTTCAAATAGGGATGTTTTAACCTTAGCGATATCTTGCACAGTACTCTTAGTGAATGCGAAATTGGAAATAGAGCACTTCTTGAAGGGAAATGATTAGAAGACTGACGTTGCTGTCCAAACAATAACAGTTCACATCACCACAGATCAGATAATGTGTCACACACACAGCACTGCATCACTAGTACTTCTCACCTTCTTCAACAGCTGAAAGGGTATTCATCACGTGTTGTTGGGCTTGTCTGTCGCCGGTGCGTGGTAGGTCTTTGCGGACAAAGTCAACTAGTCTCCGGGCTTGACTGACAACTTCCTCGGCGCCCGCATTGACTGCGGTGCTGTCATTGTCACGTAAGCCATTCCGGAACTTCTGGAGACCTTCTCGCACACGACTCTCTGTAAACGAGGCACACCGTTGCAAAATACGTGTAGTACCACACAATTACTGAAAGCACTCACCACGAAAGCAGCAAACCAACCAAACAGCCTGAAGAACACAAACAATTCCATAGCCCCGTGTTCCCATGCAGAAGACTTAGTGCAACGGGGAGATGTATTACTCAAACCATAATAGACTCGGATGGAGAGTCAAGGATAAATTTATAGAAAAGAAAAAGGACCAAGGAACTACAAGTTATGCTATAATGTCCACTAACACCACCAGTTACTAAACAACCAGCTCATGATGCGATACAATTGCACGACACTGACCGACGGTACTGACGTTCTACAACTACTTGAACTGCCTAACAGCTCTAGCTTATGTTATCATATAACTTAGAACCTTCCAAGTTGGAAGGTTGTTGGAGTGCGCATCCAAGATGTGCTAGAGCTGTTAGCCAGTTAGTTGTAGAACGTCAGTACCGTCGGTCAATGTCGTGCAATTTTATCGCAGTAACTGGTGGTGCTAGTGGACATTATAGCATAACTTGTAGTTCCTTGGTCCTTTTTCTTTTCTATAAATACCACAATAACACAAGCAATCAATCGGATGTGGCATGCTATTAGGGGTGTAGTTATATTATGTGTTGTGTGTCGCAGAACAACCATGTGTTGTGTTTTTGTTTAATCTTGGTACCTGCAGTGGCGATGAGTTGCTTTGAGTGAGTCAGGTCATCAATGATCTTGCTAACCAGCTGTACTTTCGCCGTCCACTGCTCACGTAGCTCATCCAATTGCAGCCTAGCCGAGTAGTCGCCAGCATTCTCGTGCATTTCCACAGCTTTCCGGATGATCACCGGTACAAGAGCCTCGGTTTCTTCCACGACTGACAAAAGTGTCTTGGCAGCTACAAGAGAATCCATGGAAGATATGATAAGTAGGTAAAACGCAATAAAGCATACACCACACTAAGTTACTGTTGTACATGTATCGCATGTAAAGTCTCCTATCTTTAAGTTATTAAATGAATGCCCAACGACAGCCTGAGTGTTAGCAGGGTTGTTGCTAGCTTAAAATTGAAGAGGGGCGGCCGAAAACTCACTGTTTGTGGTTTTCCATCTGGATGCCACTTGCCTAGACACTTCACATAGACGCCGGGCATACTGGCTGAACTCCTCAATGTGTGGCGTAATGTCAACCACATTCTCTGGATAGAAGAGTTGACCCTGAATGGAAAGTCACAGTGGACAATTTAGGCCAATCATGCAATTTTGTGCGCGAATCTTCGATCCCTAGTCTAGCTGCCATACGAGGTATCATGACAAGGGCCTCTGTGTGCGAAGTGGACTGCTAACTTAGATGTAGATGCAGGTAGTGCAGCCGCAATGTGTGCAAGAACAATAGAGTGTGGTATGACTTCACAGACTGCCACTGATTGGATCGACACTGGGTTATACATTACAGTCCATTCAGAAAAAGATGGACTTCTAGCTTTTGGCCATAAATGGGTCAAACGTTGAGTTTTTTTAGAATTTTTTCTGCAATCCCCTATGGAATCCTCGGCTTCCAATTATGTTTCTAAAGTTTGTTTCTCCAAAAAGCAAGCCGTTACAAGAATAGTATTTCGGCCAGGTTTTGCCCCAAGAGCACTGAATTGGGAAAGACCATCAAAATCCAGGCCGTTTGATCCTGCCTGCAACAGTGCATTGTACGGGTTTGAACCCCAGTTCAGGTACCCTTTTTGGACCCTTTTTCAAATTTCAAACTTCGCAGCACTGCACTGTGTACGATAAAATCTTGAAAATCGCCAAATACGGGAGCTCCCCAGAGCCAGGGCCCATCTTTTTGTGAATGGACTGTTACACTGAGAGCTAGAATGCTTGTATCCGTGAAGCTGAAAGAACAACCAATGTCATCCACACCCAATCAGGTCAAAGTTTAGAGCATGCCAATTTGCTTTCGTATGCTTGTATATGTATCAGAAACTGAGTCCATATTCCTCACCTGAACCTGCACGTCGGGTGTTACGGCCTCCATCAGGTCCTCTCCAGGTATCTGTGTGGTTGCAGGCAGAACGGATGAGACTTGGTCCACCACTCCCTGCTCAACGACGGTATCCAGCTCCCTCAAGCGCTTGCCAAGCTGCTCGGCAATGCTATCAAAGTGAGCTCTGAGCATTGCAGTGACGGACAAGCACAAAGTCATACAGTTACATACCATCATAGTTTGATACATGTACATGAGACCAAGATGTTCCGCCAGTCATGATGTGAGTACTAATGTATGGTTGAACTTCCTAACGGAGCAAGTACATGTATTTGGCTGCAATGTAAATCTGGGCACTCTGTCAGGATTTCATTGGCTGCCATGGTATTAATATTACATGAAGTACAATATCTATTTTTTTGGGATATAAAAAGCATCATCCCCCACGTTGATCACACTTCAGGATGAGCAGCCGAAAGAGGAACAGCTGTTGCTGACTAATACGTACTTTGCGTCCTCGTTGTTTGGCTGAGCATGAACCATCTCCAAGTGTTGATGAAACTGCTGACGAAGCCGCAGAACCTGTGCCATCAGCATTGGGGAAACACCCACACCCACACCCACACCCACACATACACACACACACACACACACACACACACACACACACACACACACACACACACACACACACACACACACACACACACACACACACACACACACACACACACACACACACACACACACACACACACACACACATACATACATACATAATCCCATACAATAAGAGTTGCACACGAATACACAAGCATGGCAGTGGCCAGTCTTTTCTCGGAGTCAAATACTGTCAGCAACAAACTCTACTTGTAAATCTTAACAACCTGCACAGGCCATCTCCAGCTATTGTCGGATGGCCTGATCAGTCAGCAACACCAGTAGACCAGTGAAAGGAAGGATCAAGAATATACTAGACGCATGCACTGAATGCTTCACTACAGTTTAGCCTGTTGGTGAGGGGAGCGTTTCACTAAATATGCACTGTAAATAACAGAAGACAATCACAACAACTTACTTCATCACACATAGCAGCTATGCGTGACTGCGCAGCTCCGCCACAAGACACAGCTACTGCATTGCTGTCGCGTATGATGGCCTCGATGTACTTATCAAGATTGACGGCAGAGTTCAGGCGCATTTGAGGTGCAAGTTGCCGCTCGGCCTGCGCATGGTCACACAGCCATACCCGCAGCGCACAGACAAACATACCGGTAGTACAGAGAAGCAATGAGATGAAAGGCATTACATGTGACTATGCATCTGCAGGGTATGCATGCACCCACACACGCATGCACACAAACACACATGGGAGTCATCACAGATGTGGCGCATAACGTCACGATCTACAACGTAACATGCATGGCACGTATCTCGATCAATCTACCTTAAACACCATAACAATGGGCATGTACAGTGAGTCCTCTGCTTTACCATTTCAAAGTCCCTGGGGCTGAAGGATTGTTCCGATCGTACTGATGCCTGTGCAGGCTCAAAGTTAGCTCTCGCTGGCATGCCGCTTCGTTGAGTGTGAGAACTGTCCACATGGTACGGACTAGCATCAGAGTATTCCGTACGTACTCTGGCTTCTTGCTGGTTGCCATCATCACTTGGATGATACACAGCCCTGGTTGAATGATGACTGCCGCTATCAACAAACTGCTGCTGCTGCTGCTGCTGCTGCTGTTGCTGCAATCGTGATGCCGATGCCTGGAAGCTACCATCGTCAGGTCGCTGATGCCGCTGCTGCAGCAGTAGTTGCGGTTGCCTCTGCTGCCATTGTTGTTGCTGCTGCTGCTGTTGTTGCTGCTGCTGCTGCTGCTGCTGCTGCTGCTGCTGCTGCTGTTGTTGTTGTTGTTGTTGTTGTTGTTGTTGTTGTTGTTGTTGTTGTTGTTGCCACTGCTGCTGGTCTAGGCGTAGCCTTGCTGTAGCTCGTATAATGTCACTAATAGCCAGGCTGATCTTCAATTTAACTTCTGCCACATCGTGGACCTGCATGCAAAAGAAACACATGGACGGAGAAGCAAAACTAATAATTACGCGTATCGGAGATTGGTAGCAGTGCCATTTTTTGAACCGTAATACAGACAGCCAGTATGATGACATCACCAGCCAGTATGATGACATCACCAGCCAGTGTGATTTTACAACAAGGGCATAGATCATGAGCTTAAAGTTCATACACTCTATTAAAGCTTTCGTACAGGTACTTACACTCTGATCATCTGGGGAGTGTACATATGTTAGCATGCTGGATGAAAGCAATGGCAGCGAAGATGTGAGAGAAGCTATGGCATTGGCAATCATTTGGCTGCGTTCCTCATCAATGAGATCTCTCTTGCCGGCCTGTTGACATAATGTGACCAGCGACTCGGTGTAGTTCTGTATGGGAGAGAATGATCGTAAGAGTATTACAGTCAGACCTCGTTTATCCGGATCCCTCGCCATTCGGAAGAAAATCGCTGGTTACCAATTTACAGCATATGCCATGCTTACATACAGCATGTGTGTTCGATTATCCAGTTCCCTCGCCTATCTGGATATTTTTCTGGAAAACGGATGTGTGCGGTTATGCGAGGTCTGACTGTACTACCGTGATGAAGAGCTGAGATGATGCAAAACCCGATTAGCGCCATATTTGAGAAAATCAGATTTTCAGCTCAGTGTAATCAAAAGGTCTAGGGGCACCAGCAAGCAAAATTTCACATCCCTGCAAAATGCATGTACATGTACATGCCTCGTACTCCAGTATGGTTAAACAAACCCAGCTTTTCCTAGCACATTCACTGCCGGTGCACTTGCCAGCTAACTGGCATGACACATCACAATACCATGACTCATCACAATACCATGACACATCACAATACCATGACCCACCTTGAAAGCAGCGAGCAATGCTCTCTCCGTCGGTATCTGTGTCACAACTTCAAGTCGATCTGATAAGACATGAGCTGACTCCACAATGTTGAACACATCCCACTGGTCATTGGCATGCAGAATCTAATTATACACCATGTACACAGGCCAAAAGAAAACATGTTGCAGTCACGATCAGGCAATTAACAGGAAGAAGGGATGTGAAAATGAGGAGGAGGAGGAGGAAGAAGAAGAAGAGGTGGAGAGGCAAGGAGGAGGAGAAGGCGAAGGACGAGGATGAAGAGGAGGAGGAGGAGGAGGAGGAGGAGGAGGAGGAGGAGGAGGGGAGGAGGGGGAGGAGGATGAAGAGGAGGAGGAGGGGGAGGGGAGGAGGGGGAGGAGGATGAAGAGGAGGAGGAGGAGGAGGGGGAGGAGGGGGAGGATTGGGCCGGAAGAGAATGAAGAGGCAGAGAACATGAGGAAGGAGAAGGAATGGGAAAGCCTGTCTGGCAACTTGACGTTTCATAGGAACTTGCGCTAGTGGACACTAGTAGTCAGCCCCGACTCAATAGTTGTTTGTTCTGTCAACCCACAACTTCTGTGTTCTAGTCGTTTCTTCGTTTTCCCTGCATCCAACTTTGTTATCTTTCTTGTTCTTATTTTTTGTCTCGAGCCGGGTTTGTGTTCTTTGTAAAAAAAACTTGAATTAATGGTGCTGCTGTGCATGGAAAGAGTGCAGATTAGAATATGTAGTACAGTATAGAACATGGACATGTGTGCGCTTGCGTGCGTGTGTGGTCTCAGCATGCACAACATATCAGCTGGTATTCTCAATCTGTGTAAACTGGAAAGTATCTCACTTTGGACGTTCTCTTTTTCCATTTACAATGTTCTTAGTACATACACAAAAAGGAGGTCCCCTAATAGGTGTTAGCCTTTGGGTAATCCTGAAACATCTTAGAATGAAACACTGGACAGACTCAGATACCAGACACGCTGCCCAGAAAGGAGTTACTTCAAGATGTACGTGAACTAGGAGATGTTAGACTACCGGCAGTACATGCGTATTGCGACATGTGTCAAGCAGACTTACAGCTTTTGTAGCATCGAGAATAGCTTGAGCAGCGGTATGCAGGGACATGGGCCCGCCTGGCAAGGACTTCAAGCAAGACTCCGTGGCCACTTTCAGCAAGCTGACTGCCGTGTCGGCCTCGTTGCAGCCTGTCTCCAGCAAACCTGCGGACGCACCCTATACAGTATAGGCAAGGGCATCGTGTACACCGTGGCACAACACACCGTGGCACAACACACCAACAAGCACATGGCATGCAGCTGATCATATGATACCGTATTTTCATTGCTGTTGTTAGGTGTAATTTATCTTACTTTGAAACTCGGGTATTGAGCCAATAATAAAAGTAGAAAGGAAAAGAACATAAGGACATATCGTCCAGTGACAATCGACATTCTTTGTTCCGTTGGGACTGTAGCTTGTGCTCGTTTTCGTTGCGCTTGCCTTCCCCTCTTTGGTCTTTCCATAACCTTGAACCTTCCAAGTTGGAAGGCTGTCGGTTAGCGTTACGGGAATGTGTTGAAGCTAGGTGTCAGGACGTCGAATGTCTCAGTACTCTGTCAGTTTTGTGCCTAGTTGTTGCACTTTCTGACTGTATATAGTATCTAGTTACAGTGGTGGAGAGTTACTCTTAACTCGTTACCATATGTCCTTTTCCTTTCTACTTTTATCTTACTTTGGTTTTCTTATAAGATTTCATTTTTTCTTTGTTTTGTTCAGTAGTACAACGAAGATTCCTGATGAGTGTTGTACTAAAACTTGTTCGAATCCATTTATTGTTCTCTTCACCATCCGGCCTTCTTACTTTCATCACCGTTTTTGCACTTAGTTCCACATTTTGATATTGCACGAATAAAGTTTCCATGTCGATCCCGCTTGGCCTATTGGTTGCGGTCATAACATTGTTGTCTCCTCGATGTCTCTTTTCATGTTTTTTTTGTTGTTGACTTTTTGACTTGCTGATGTTTATCTCTCTCAATTCTTTGCCCAACGTATTGCTGCCTTAGTTATTTTTTGCTACATTCCCTGTAAGAGACCATGAAGAGAAGGGAACGAACACGTTTGGTTCTAAAATTTCCTAGTGTTCATGATTTGGACTGGTGTGGATTGCGCAGATGCGTGTACTACATTGATGTATTGATTATGCAGACTAATAACCGCGAAAGGCCGCCTCGTCGGACTTTCAAGTTGCCCAGTAGGTGTGACGTGTACAAACCTCGCACTATAATAACTCATGTGCTGATTCCGACATTAGTCACACAGTTACAGACTGCATACTGGACTGGGAGGTGGTAACCTTCTGGAAACATCCAACATCTACAGGCCCGGGTATACTGGAGCCAGCAGGCCAGATAGAGTGTTGCATTTGATGGTAGTGTGAGACTGAGTAGTGCTGATGTACTGAGCGCCATTCTGTTCAACAAGACCAGTCCCATGACTAATGATATGGTTCCCGGATGCTAATGTGTACATCTGATGGGACAATGCAACCAATAGACTAACCATACTGTGACGCTCGTACTGTATGGATTGCAACTGGGACTAGCATGGTGAGCGGCACACTGGTGTACCACTTGCATAACCAGCTTAGCGGCACAGTGACGAGTACAAGTACAATTACTGACCATTGAACGACTACATGCACAGAAAATGACAGTATACATGTACTTCTGATATTATGAGACTTCGCTACCAGAGTGTGATGGGAATGTTTGTACCTAATGCCCCCCCCCCCCCCCCCCAGGCCCCTGCTCACGGTGACCTGATCAGCATCCTTAGCATCTTACCTGTGCCTCGACTTCTGCAGCAAGCGTGCGGCCAGCATTGCTCAGTGCCAAGACTGCTTGTTGCAAGCCTTGCGATGCTGCACTCAGTAAAGACGGTATCTGTGGTGTTGCCTGGGGTTGTTGGTGCTCTACATGCTGACATGTTGCTAGCAGTCGGGATACCTAGACAATGCAGTGGAGCGGTATATTCACATGTACATAGTACATAGTACATCGAGATGTACGAAAGACTAAGAATAGTGGAGCCAAACCATAGTGCAGTACATGTACTTCACTCAGGGCTTGTGATGTGCCACGCAATACGCCGGCTCGTGCTTGGATGGCACTCACTCACATACATGCAGCCTATTGCTCTTCAAGAGTGTGATGTCCTACACTCCTACCGGCCAGTGGACTCACACCGGGTGGCTGACTGCGTGGCAAGTTACCTGGAAAACAGCCCTCCTGACGGGCACACTGGGTACTGGCCACGCACTCTGCACCAATATAACAATGCTAGCGTTGAGCCGCCTAACCCGCCCCCTACCATAGTACTATCAATCCAACACCCGAAGCATGGCACCACACCACAAAACCACTGCCCCCCCCCCCCCCCCTAACACACACATTCCTCTTTGCATAAATAGTGGCATGGCCAACAGCATCTTCATGTTGCCTGATGATTGCACAGCATCAAACTTGGAGTTGCAACAAGCTAGCCTTGTGCCCTTGTTGTTCTGTGCGTGCCAAGGCATTCGCATGCAACACACATGTACTGATGATTGAAGATGTCCTCAGATGCCAGCCATCGTCAACTGGCTATCTTCATTGGACTGTGGTGGCGTCACAGTATGTCTCATTGACATTGGCTACCATTCCCGTCTGAATGTGGCTCAGTAATGAAAAAATAATAATTATTATGAATATCATTCCTCTCTCACGAACCACACCTTTCTGCCAAATCATGTGTGTGCAAATAGAGCGCGTCTGATGTAGCGTTATGATCAGCTGTTGCCTGAAAGGCTGGAGTGGAGCCCTTACCTGCACAGCAATGGTGTGAAGTACGGACTGAACACTTCTTGTTTCTACCTCCGCGTCCTCCATCATCAATGGTGATAGCGGTTCAGTTCAGTCCCTCCTCCGCCTCGCTGCTCAACTGGTCACAGTGGTCAGTGCAGTGGTGTGAGGACGTATGCGCGACAACCTTTGAGTTTGAGCAGACCGCTACAGCCTGGACAAGCAGAGTGCTGCAGCCTTACCTACAGCGCGATGGCAATGTTGGTTCGCGGCTTCAATTTGTTTTCCAGGCAGTTTTGTAAAATTTACTCCGTCTTTGCAGACTTGGCGCGACGATCGCGACTAGTGTCAGTAGTAGTGAACTAGTTCCGCGGTCCGCGATCCGGTGCATGAACTGTAGAATAATTATTTTTATGGTTTGTTGTAGTAGGCCTTTTTGTGCTTTACTGCCTTTAGTCTTAGAAGTAAGTTACAAGTAAGTTTACACAGACTCAGTGCTAGGTTCAGAATCGTCAGTGCTACGTACTACTAAGGGGCCGGCCGTCCGCAAATATCGAACTTTTTTCACCAAACGAATTATTTTAGTTTAGACCCAACCCCTCCCTCCCTCCCCCTCAGAACGTAAAAATTGTTGACATATACATGCATATACAACAAAACCCGCAAGTGTGTAACTGCTCCTATGTACATGTACATGTATCGAACTTTTCTGAAACGAAATTGGTCAACCCCCTCCCACCCCATAACGAAATTATTTCGTTTCGTGAAAAAAGTTCGATAATTGTGGACGACCCCTAAGTACTAGTCTAGTACTGAGTACTAGTACTGAGTACTAGTACTGAGTACTAGTAGTAGTAGTAGCCAGTATTACTATGCGCGACTCTGTGCTTGTGCCATGGCAGTTGTGGTCACCGCCCTCGATCCAGACGAGATAAGAGAACATAATGCATGGAGATCTCAGATCTGCATACCGTCCAGATGCAATGCATGATAAGTGATAACCATGGTTACGTACAATGAACATGAGGATGCCACTACCAGGGAGTCGTAAAATACCACTCCCTGGCCACTACAAGTACAACACGCTACAGCACTAGCACTGGTGACCATGGTGACCATACCGAGCAGATCTGGAGAGTGGAGTGGAAGTGAGTATCACGACTACTCCGTTTTTCTTTCCTTCCAGTTGCATCTTCCTTTCTGCTCTGTTTTACCTTTCTCCTTTCGTTTGTCCCTCCTGATAGGAGTCTGGGACACGTGGTTAGGCTTTCCCCAAATCGGCCGGCCGAAAAAGCCCAAAACGAGACTATCGAAAAATCGCTAAACCTTTCGCAGATTTTGGAGTGTTCCTTGGAGAGTCGCCGAAAATCTACCAAATATTGTTGCAAAGTGCGTTTAGGAACGAATGGTGTTGCTGCAAGCATGACCGCTCGAGCTCTCTACTTCAGTACTTGTAGTACTAGTGCGTTCAGGTCGTGTGACTCGTGTCCTTTGACCTCCTCTCAAACAAACATTTGCCACTGGGAAAATCGTTACTAGTAAAATCCCCAAACCGGCCGGCCGAACAATTTGCCGAAAACGACACTTATCGAAAGATTGCTAAGCTACAGTAGATAAGCTTTTTGCCGATTTTCGAGGGTTCCTTTGAGAATCGCCGACAATCTACCAAATCTTCCAACATCTCATCAATTTTGAAGCCAATATGCCAACAATTCTTTTAGCCGATTTTCCAAAATATTCCAATTTTGCAGACGATTTTGAACAAGCAGCTGATTTTGAAGCCAGTTGCGAGCGTGGTGCCAGCTCGTGGCTGTCGTGCCTGCCCATCGCTGCACACGGCTTCAGCCTCGACAGGAGGTCATTCCAGGATGCTCTTGCTGCACGCTACGGATGGCCTGTTCTTGGTATCCCTGACACTTGCTTGTATGCTGTGCCTTTCACCTCCGACCATGCCATGATATGCAGACGTGACGGCTTCCCCATCATCCGCCACAACCATGTCCGGGACTACATTGCCGGCCTTCTTGGCAGAGTGTGCAATGCTGTGGAGACAGAGCCTGTTCTTCAACCCCTTGCTGGTGAAGCTCTTCCAAGGGCCGCCAACACTGCCCTCAGGCCAGACTGGATGTCAAGGGGAGGGGCCTCTGGTCCAGGCAAGAGGATGCATTTTTTGATATAAGAGTTTTCTATCCCTGCGCGTCCTCTTACATGACTAAGTCCCTCTCTGCGATCTACAGATGGCACGAGGAGCAGAAGAAAGCGGCTTATGGTGAGCGGATCCGGCGGGTGGAGAGGGGCAGCTTCTCTCCATTGGTGTTCTCCTCTGTCGGGGGGGGGGGGGGGGCTGGCGGCGAGGCCCGGGATGTGTTGAAACGTCTCGGAATTCGCCTGGCAGCGGTAACCGGAGATTCGTATAGCGTCCTGGTGATGACATGTATTTAGAACACATGTCTATAATTATGCTCAATTCATGTGCAAGGTTGATTGTTATCCCTTGCACGCATTACCTGTGCCCTTTCCTGTTTTATTTCATCTCATAATAATATTGCTGAAATTATGACTCTACTACAGTCAACTTCGCTAATAACGACTGCGGATATAATGACAATTCGCGAATAACGACAGAATTTCGATGCCCAGAGCAAAGTCCCATCTAACTGTAGCACATATAATGAGACTTCGGGTATAATGACACTTCGCGAATAAGGACACCTTTCTCATTAGGCCTTGACGGATTATGCTAATATTTTCGTGAAATTATGCTTGTCGCATTGCTGAAAAAATTGCAGAATTATGCTATTTTTATGCTAAAAGTTATCATATTATGCCGCATTATGCTCACATATGCTGCTAATGTACATGTACATGTATAATGATGGTTCTGTGCAAAATAACAGGGATTTTTTTGTATAGGGCGTTGTACTGTAGTAGCAAAAGTTTAACGGAGTCTATGCACCGTCCGACCTACAATTGTAGCTACGACCGTCACTGATTGTAGTGGACTGGACATGTTATCAAGGGAGTCGTAAGCCTACATGTATGACTTCCTGGTGCATCTACTTGTACCGTAGTTGTACTTGTAGAACATGTACAACTCTATGGAATTTGATGCAAACAGGCGGATTATTCCATTATTTATGCAATTTGTATGCAATTTGCCTCGAATTATGCGATTATTCGATTTTGGTAGGAATTATGCGAAAAATTATGCTAGCATAATCCGTCAAGGCCTATTTCTCATGCCCCGCCGAGTGTCGCTATTCGCAAAGTTGACTGTACATTCTAGTACTGCTGCGCACACATGGTACAGGTAGCCTATACATAATAAGTATTATAATAGGCTAAACATACGGGGCGGAGACGGATGTACATGTACATGATCTGACCATGATGACTACATCAGTACAGTCATGTACTGTAGTAATAAATTTTTTTAATTATTATTATAACCATAACTACACGTGCACATGCACTTGCCACATACAGCACAGAGCATGCTGATAGTGATAGACTATTAGTGTACAAGTAATAATCACTATGACAGTATGACTATGAGTATGAAAGGCTCATACTCGTAGTCTGTGACTCATACTCATAAGTCATAGTGATAGTAATAATTACACTATCAGCGCAGCAATGACAGCTAGCGCAATAGCATGCTCTGTGCTGTATGTGGCACGTGCATGTGCACGACGTGAGATCTGATTCACTGGACACTGATGCAGTGATGCGTCATTTTTTGGTTCATTCGACTGCGTCGCTAGTGTGCAGCCCGGCTAGCTCAGTCGGTAGAGCATGAGACTCTTAATCTCAGGGTCGTGGGTTCGAGCCCCACGTTGGGCGCATTCTTTTTTTTTGAACTTTTTCCCGAGCTTACTCTGTACTCAGATCACCAGAATGATGATAATCAGTTTGACAACACTTGCATCCAGTTCAGGTCTTTTTTCTTTTGTTTTCTTCTTGCACCATCCTACACCACTGGTAACTGGCTTGTTATGTGTGCCTGGCTCTGCATCTGGGGCAGACGACAGTCATGTCGGCAGTCAGTACAATGTCACTACTACTACTACTACTAGTACTGCCTGGCACTGGCCTGCTGGGCCAGACCAGGACGGCAGGAGGAAGCCCAGACTAGACTGTGTGTATGACTGTATGTGTGGGCATGTGTGGGTTATGTGGTGTGCGGCAGGGAGGTTTTTACTTTTTTCTTTGTAGCACTCCCTGGTGTGTACTATCTGTGCTTGAAAAATGATGTGAGTGATTTGCCATCCTGACTGTCAGGCAGATGGACCTGCCTGCTGTCACCAGTGCCAGTGCCAGTGGTCACCACTGCCACTACTGTCTGATCATAATCATTCTCGAGCTCCAGCCAGTCCAGGTCTAGTTGGTTGTAGATATGCGGTGTCAATTCCAGATCGTAATAACAACCCACACTCTTTAGTTCACGAATCACTCACCGTCACTCCAGCCAGGGGGTCGTATAAGCCTCCCCTGCTCATGTAATGCAGGCAATCCCAACTCCAGTCGGGGCATCAGTTGACCGCCATCGCGTTCACAGCAGTGCAGTACTGCCCTGTTTCAAGTAATAGTTTCCTTTGCTTTGCAATTATTTGAAAGGCAGGATAGCAGAACTTGAGAAGACTGAATGTCATGTAGTTTGTATACGGTTCATCGTACATGATTGTAATAGACTACACAGTACTCGTACGTCCCACATTTTCGGCATGCCAACTTGTACAAACTAGTAAATGGACACGACTGTCCTTGTCAACAGGTTCGAAGGATTGATCAAAGAAGGGTCTCTTGTTTCCTTCAGATGAGGTGAATATCATTGCCCTTCACACAGTTGATAGATAGCGACCAACGAATGGACACTCAGTGAAGATTGTTCTCAACCGCGGAGGTCATGGCAGAATCAGTAAGTTTGTAACCCAAAATTATTATATTTCCGTCCGATTGGATTGGCTTGTCTGAGCTGAGCCCGTGAGGGTTCGTATGCTTGAGAGTAAAGGATTTGAAATTAATAATACATGATCGACTCCAGGAGCAGCATGGACCAGTTGTGCATCAACACCCCCGGTTGAGCAGTTACTTGCGATGATTATACCAGTAGATTACATGGCGTGGCGATGTACACGTGATTATGATTCCAAATTTGTCATACTTGTTACCCATTGTAACAAACAGCTATACCTTTCTGAGTTTCGAACTCTAGAATTATTCAAGTAGACTGTACACTATCAGCTCTGTAATAACATCATGGAAGATACCTGTACTCTTTGCTGTAATGTAATTAGTTACCTGGTATCAGTCGTCGATATCCTATGAGACAGCTTGGATAGAAATGTAGTGCCGTGGATCTACACATGTGAGGCATGTAATATTTAGGGTATTGCTACTCAGTGTTGAGTTGGACATCCGATTCACAAACTCGTATTAGATGTTGGTGAAAGGTGACATATGTGCACACATGTTCTTCTCAGTGCTTGTTGGTGTGTCACATGGCTGTCTCTGTTCTTATCGGCAGGAAACAACAATATCGGTGTTGGATTCTGCTCCAACAGCAGCTGCGCCAGGAGATGAGAGCGGGTCTCTTGCAACTTCTGACAGTGCAGCCTGCATGTTTGAAGCTAGCAGTTCACAAGCTAAATACAATGAGGACAGTGAGTCGTATGACAATGATGATGACAATGATGATGACAATGATGATGACAGTGATGATGATGACAGTGATGATGATGATGATGATGACGATGACGATGATGATACATCGTCCAGTGACGACGACTGCAATACAGGCTTCCCAGACACGTCTGAGAGTGACGACGATGATGATGCCAGCAGCCTGCCACGTCAGTCAAGATCGCCCGTCTTCAGCCGATTCGATGAAAGTGTTATGCGAGAGCGCTACATCGAGACGATAGAAGAGGTTTGTGAATGCGAGCACAGCCACTGTCACCTCTGGAAGGAGAGGGCCGTTTCGGAAGCTGTCAAAGACAAAGAGGAAGATATGGAGTTCACCATCAGTGAACTGAAAAGAAGATTGGAGGAAGTCGAAAAGCAAGTAAAACGGAAAGACTGCCTTCTGGGAGAGCGAGTTCTCTCCCAGAAGAGGCTTGAGCGACAAGTTGACAATCTCAAATCAGAGCTGGGAAAGTTGAAGAGTTTATCACCTAGCGCCCTGTCTTCGCCATCAGCTTCTTGCCTATCTCTATCATGCCTCAGTGCTATGGAGCGTGACACAGAACAAGCGACCAATGATGAGTTACTGCACGTTGCCTCCGAATGCACTAGCAGTGGTGAGCCAACAGACAGTAGCATTGACCTTTCTACCTTGAAGCAAGAGAGGCAGCAGTTGAGTTTGAAACTGCAGCTTCAGAAACTCGCTTTAGAGTCTAGCTCGGCCAGCATTCAGCAGCTGCAGTCGTCCAATGCGGAGTTTGAGCGGAAATTAAACGATGCGTGTGCTGAGTTAGAGGGGCTGAAGCAAGAAGCCCGACTTGCGTCAAACGAGCATCAGACGGTGCATGATGATGCCTGTGGGTTACCGACGAAGGTGGGAAGCAGTGATGCTGAGACCCAATGCCAACCGACAGCATGCATCCAATGTGATCATAGTCGACATCTGCTGGTGACTGAACAGACGCAAGCTTTCGAGGCTGTTTCAGACATTCTTCGAATGATGCAAGATGGTGACAGTGCTGAGTGTGAAGTGCTTATAGCTAAGCTACACTGCAATCTGGCTACCAAACTTCAAACATCACCGCCCCCTCCGCCCCCTGTATCACCTATAGTAGCTAGCACCAGTCCATGTGTACGATGTCGGCAAGCACTGGTAACAGTAACCGCAGTAGAGAATGGATTTCATTGTGACAGGCCAGCCTCTGGGGAGACCGTTGCTACAAAGTAAGTATATTTGCCAAGTAATTGCTTTACAAGCTCCATCGTCAAAACTGAGCGCAAAATACGGAGAAGAAAAACATGCAAAACATGCTGCAAAGATGATCAGGAAGGAAAATCCTGGAATCAGATCCTGTCTGGTCAGTCAGTGTCAGCTATTGTGCTGCTGTCTGGCCATGTGGAAATATAGCTGGGACGAAAGAAGTCTGATCCGTCAACAACGTACGCAGGGATGGCGCTGCATCATGGCCGAAGAAGGAGCTCTGGTTTGGTCTCGCGGCTGCTTAGCGCCAGGTGCCATCTCTCTAAGCGCACCGGGGGGCTGGAGTTTTTTGGGCCCAGCTTCGCAAGCTTTGTTATGCATGTGCTTGCGTTTGCAGAAAGTAATACAGTACAGTCAAACCTCATTAGGACGAACACTGATAAGGCGAACTTTCCATTAGTACAATCCATAATTAAATATGATGTGGATATCAATTTTTTGTCGCATCTGGAAAAGAAGAACTCCGGATAAGACAAACAAACTTGTTCAATCCCTTGAAGTTTGTCCTAACGAGGTTTGACTGTATTACTATAATTATTATCTGTCTCTTCCATGGAGTTCTTGTATGTATTTGCTTTCTGTCTGGCTTCTTGAACAGGCAAACATCTCTGCTGGAGTCTATACTGAGTAAGGACTCGGCCATCTTTGAAGAGGAGCGCTCGCTTGCAAAGGCTAACAAGCAGCAGTCCGGTGTCTTACTCACATTGCGACGAGAAAAGGAGGACTTACTGCTTCAGTTACGACAGCTTGTGAGTCATACATGTAATTATATGTACTATCGTATTCAAAATTAGAGCATCGCTGGTCATAAGCGAGGATCCCTGGTTCGAGTCCTGGTGGTGACAGCAAATCTTTCTTCAGATTTTCCTGTTTGCAATTCCCTCAAACTAATGAAAATTTACTTCAAGTACCGGTGGCCTTTTTTCGTTCATGTTCAGGTTCATGTATGTACAAGTAGAGAGGTTCTGCTATACGTGAAACGTAGAGAAATCACGTAGAGAGCAGGTGTCTGGGTTAGAGTCTACGGCTTCGCGTGTTTTGGGTCCAGATTTCTACGCGTAGATGAGGTTCTCTACGTTGTGGCTCACGCAAAGAAAATTGCGTACGGATCTGCTGGGTATCATTCGAGTGCAGGCAGAAAACTGCCAAATATTATTATTATTATTATGAACAGTTTCGCGTACTTGAGGACCAGCCTCTTTCCGCCTCTGTGTTCCTGAGCAATAGAAGGAGAGAGACAAAACTATACTATTATGATGATGACAAGGGAAGACATGGACTGCAAGGTACGGTTTACAAATCGACAATAAGCAAATAGCACTGAGAAGGATGGGCAACTTCTGTTTCGTCAGTGTTCACTGTGCGTTTTTTACGACGGCCTTCCACACTTGCCTGTCGGATGCCTTCTGCCGGAGGCTCTGCAGATGCGGGCTCCTCTTGAGTGGCGTTTGTCTGTGGACGCAGTCTTGCTGGATCTGGGTGACTAAAGTAGTCAGAGACTGCCAAATATGGAAGGGGAAAATCCCAGTACACACTCCACGTGACTTCTCTACGTGAAACGACGTTACGTAGAGCAGAACAGGATTTCTTTACGCTGCGGGAACGCGAAGAGAGTTCGCGTGATTCTTTGCGTCGCGTTCCCAAAACGTAGAGAAGAACCTCACTATTGTGTGTGCAATCCGGAAGAATGTGTACGTAGCTGGAGGCTAGGCTATATGCGCACTGACCATGGCCTTGCAGCCATGTGTATGCATGTGCTACACACTATTACAGATTCTAGTACAGCCTGGGTTCAGGAAATGCACTCCCTTTTCCATGTGTATGGATCTATCCAACCAAAAAAGGGATCATATCTGCACAGGGTAGGCCAGGGTACTAGTATACCGCTATGTGTACACCAGGGAGTACTAAAAAACCTTTTTAGTACGCCCTGCTGTACACCCTGGTACACATTGGTCAGTTTAGTGTATGACCTTTGTACTGCACATTGATATGGTACAGTACCAGCAACAATGGCCGAGCATTGCTACTGGTACAGGAGGAATCCTGATAATTCGAACCTCGAAATGCCAGGAAAAAACTTCTAATTAAGCGGGATTCACAGAAGCTTTTTTGCGATGCGACACGCGATGCGACAGGCGCGAAACCGGGAAAACCCCAAATCGCAGCCTTGTCGCACCCCACGCAACTGCCGCAACTCAGCCATCGCAGAAGTTGAGCTTGGCTCAACTTTTGCGATGCGATGCGACAAGCGATTTTGACCTTTTCTACAGCAAAGTTGTACAAAGGTTCAAGAGTTGCCTTTAAATTTGTACAAGTTGTATCAAACCGCGCGAATATCATGGTGACGTAGCCAAATCAGCAAGATGTTGTCGCATCACTGACTTCTTCTGTGAATGGTATTTCGCGAGTTCGCATCGCACGCGTCCGTCGCAGATCGCGTCGCATCGCAAAAAAGCTTCTGTGAATCCCGCTTTAGCCGGACATTCTAATTATCCAAACATGAACCCACAACACAATATGTATATCAAAATGCTCTCATGGTCACGCAGAGTTGCGCTATGGACCTTAGACACCGATTTCACGGATACTGAACTGACTGGTACAGCCTGCTCATGCAAACTGTACTGACCAGTACAGTGTACAGTGAACTTCGAATTACACTTTGCTAACTTCGAATTATCAGCACAAATCGCACACATTTTCTATGTAAGTGGAATCCGTGGAACTTCGAATTAACCGGATATGTCTGGTTCGAGGTTCGAATTATCAGAAAAATTTATGTGGGAATCGTATTGACAGAAACGAGTCCTGGAAAAACTTCGAATTAAGCGGGATGTTCGAATTAAGCCAAATTCGAATTATCAGGATTCCACCTGCATACACCATGCACTGAAATTGTACTCCTCTTTCTGTGGTCTATGAAATAATTGACTGGAAGACCCCGTGCTTCTTTCTACCGTGGCTACTACTGTATTTCCCCGATTACCGTAAAGTACCGTTGATCCGCCCACCACGCCATGTCGCTTCCCAGCTGGGTTTTCGGCAGGGGGCGGGGATTAGATCAAGGCTGTGAAGTGCAGTACGATGTACAACAACGTCGAGGATCAGACTCGATGTGCTGGATTGTGCACATTTTCATCCTGGATTGGCACGTATTGGTGTACAGCAGTGCATGCGTCGGTTAAACATCGTATTTCGTTGTATACGCCGAAGTCGCTTCACAGGTGGAAAATCGACAGGGGGCGGATCAACAGTACTTTACGGCATAAGTCGCACACCCATTTTCAGGTTTGAGCAATATTGATTTGATATATTGACTTCAGCAGTAAGTCACACTCAATTGTAAGTCGCACCCCTTTTTTACCCTTGAATTTTAGTGTAAAAAGGTGCGACTTATATTCGGGGAAATACGGTATTTCTTCCACTCCCTACCTAACGTTAGTTGGCATGCAGCATGCCTCTGGACCCCTTGTTGGATGAAATGCAGTCATGTTTTGAATGATCGTGCACCCCTTGATGGATGACATAGTCCTGTATCACATGACCATTGGACCAAGCTGACATTTTATTGTTGCACAAGTTGGTGTGTCACTTTCTCGTTGCTGTAAGAATTGAAAGTGTAACGAGTCTAAAGTTTAACGATTTGCAATTTTGTCACACTTTTAATAATAATAGTGGGCACAAAGTTTAACGACCCTGCCATTACACGCCCATCTTATATTCCTCTACTAAGAAATAGCATACTAGTAACGTTTCTTAGATTTTATTCTCGTTAGATCGTTAGACTTTGTGCCCCGATAGAGATTCAACTCTTACAGTGTCTGTGTAAATTTGGTTTGTTTGTCCGTCCTGCTAGGTTACAAGGCATGCAGCGCCTTCGCCGTCAAATAGTCCCATAGCAGTTAGGACTTCCAAGTCTAGAACCCTAGCTGCTGATGCTGCAATGTCACCTGAGGCGGTATGTAGCATTTGTCCTACTCTATCTCCTGACAGCTAGCTGTTTCGACCTTGTTTAGGTGTCATGAGCAGAGCTCAGAGTCACTGGTCCACCTGATCGTAATGTGCTCTAGTGAACAACAAATCTTATTTTTAAATATCAGCAAACAGCATCAAAGTCCCAGTGCTCTAGCTGCGAGAGACACAGCAGGCTTTGCACGAGCATAGCATATTTTCGGCGATACTGGCCGAGGCCCATAGTAGCCAGTTTGCGCCATGCCCTAAATAATTGAATTCTCACCCAATTTGAAAAAAATCCCTGCAAACGCCCTGAAACGATGTGGCGTTTGTTTGTGACAGGTGGTAGTTAAAAGACCGGCCCCAAATCAGAAAATTCCACTATCATTTTTCTTACGTTTCTGTATAATTATGAACCAGCCCTGCATGCGTCTTGTACTTGTGCTACCTTTCAAAGTGGGCCTTGCATGGGTGTGTGTGTGTGTGGGTATGTGGGTACGCAGGCACCTGAATTGTTGTGCATCGTGCTACGATGTTTTTTTGGCCAGCGCTTCTACTTCTTCTCTCTGTGTTTCTGTTCCTGCGTCTTGGCTGCAATACAGATCGCAGCCAAGGTCAAATCTTTACAGTCTAGTCGGCAATTTCTCCTCGACACTATCAAGTCATCTCTGGACACCCTTGCAGCCAGTAAACCGTCAACCCAAGCAGCACAGGCGCACCACCACGATGAGAAGATGGCAGAGGAGGTAGGTTGTCATTGCTAGTTCACAGGCTCAGTATCTCTGCACCATTTACTCAGTATGTGCGCTCCTGCGAAAATACAGGAATGGATCAAATCACCGCATCACCAAGGTGATAATAGGAAATTTGCATGCATGTTCAACTGTTCACCTTTTGTACATGTACAACAAGCGGCAATGCGCAACAGGAATTACCTTTGTGATACGGTGAAATAGCCAATTAACCTGGTGTGAGATGAAGGAAAGGTCACTATTACCTCAACAAACACTGTATGTGCCATGGGCATGGACTCTTTCTTCATTAGTTGCAGACTCGGGGTTTATGTTCCCTTGCTTGTAAAAATCTCATCAACTAAAAAAACCTTTTGCTTCAAGGCATGGTCGTTATCGCACCTTGCATTGCGAAAGTTGAGCCAAGCTCAGCTTCTGTGTGAAACTAGGTGATACGATTGCATGTGCTGTGCGCGATGCCATCATGGCTGCAATCAGGTTTTCCGATTTAAATCTGTGGCATATAATAATGTAATAGACTCCATGGGGTATGGGGTGGACAAGGTCAAGCAATCATCTAAATCTTTACAGAAGTTCTAAATCTACTAGACCATCGCACATAGTTAGATAACAAAATAACATCTCTTTGTTATTATAACTGGCATGCTTCCCATGTGTCTGCTCTCTGCACAGCTCCTTGATACGCTGGAAGATGAGGAGAGAAAGCTTGATGCTGTACAGGTGTACAGCCAATCTCTAAGCAAGCTATCTACTGGTGTGAATTGAGAGAGAGACTGGTGAGAGACAGAGAGAGACTGGCGAGAGACTGAGAGATGTACTACTGATACACACCAGAGTAAGGCAGGTCACTCCGTGCATGGTGCATGGGGTTTGTCTCGCTGGTGTGGAGTGGCGTTGTCATTGGCGAGTTTACTAAATGTTGCGCTTGCCGCCCAGCTATTTTGTTACTCCCTGAAACTGTTTGAATACTACCTTAACCTCGGTGGCTGTTTAACCTGAGTGTTGTGCAACATGTTTTACTCATCCTTGGTCTCAAGTTGAACCTGGCTGGACCAGTATGCTGTCGCTGTTCTGGTTGCTGGAGTTCAGTGGGCGGGCATCATTCTATGCCGGCGTACAGACATTCTATGCCGGCGTACAGACATTCTATGCCGGCGTACAGACCTGCACTACACTGTACTACACTGTACTACACTGTACTACATCATGTCTACAATGCCAGTGTACCTACACGGTAAGATTCTGACCATTGCCTAATGTTGCATGGACACACACACACACACACACACACACACACACACACACACATACACACACACACACACACACACACACACACACACACACACACCCCTAGAGGCTGTAGTCAAACCTGTTTTATCAGTCAGTGCCACTTTTAAGAATATTTTTGGGGCTATCTATTTTTTAATTCTCTTTTTTTAACACATGCCGACTATCCGCATCATTTCTATAACACGTGATGATTTAAACCTGGCCTATTTCTATAAGTCAATAACGATTGAAACCTGGCCTATTCTGAAACCACATTCATTTTTAGCGATCTTTCATTGCTCACCGCTCATTTTTATGGTGATTTTAGTTTTCTATTTTTTTTAACTAACAAAGCTCTTTTTTTAACTGTGATACGGGAACCTACGATCAATACTGTGGCCCAATCACTGTTGTTCAGCTTGCTCACGCTGTTCAAGATATTTGATTTTCCACTCTTGTTGTGGGCTAGTGTAATTGCCAGCACCGTAAGGTGGTACAAGTACATGAATAAGGCTGTTGAACCCAGTGGCGCTTTCATGCATTCCTTGTTAAGTTTCGTGGGTAGCATCCTCGCCCAGCCGAGAACCGTAAAAACGTGTCGTGTATAGGGTGCTGGACTTACGCTTTTCGTCGTTCCCACCAGGGAGTAGTACATTGTACTACTCCCTGGTTCCCATAGGGATTTGTACAGGAACATCACGAAATCGTGGATTTGTACGTAGTGCGAAGCGGCCTAAAAAATCTATGGTGTTACGCTGGGGAAAGTACTCATTTTCATTGCATATGAATGAAGGGTGGAGCAAGATCAGTAGGAACTAACGTTATAATAGAACACTTTGTATCTGATTTACTTGCAGTTATTGTATTTTGTGATAGTGTTGCATCGTGGGCGGTACGGTACTGTCGGGACTAACAATTATTGTTATCAATTACTAGTCATTACTGGTTTGGGGAGTACTTTGAAGTACTAGTAAGTCTTCTTATTCGGAGCAGTGTTGCTTTACTAATTACACATGCAGCTGAGATTACGCTCCCATTGTAGTATCTTCCTATCAGAATACGTAGCACGCCTGGGGTCATTCCTGATGGTCACAGGTACACCATACCAAGCTGGGCAGAATCGACTGAAAATACCTGGGTACGGTGCTGCTCTGATTGGCCAAATGCTGGCAACGACCTGACAACAGGCACGTGGTGCATGGCATGTATGAAAGTGATGAAATCGGAACTGGTCCAGGGCGCCAGTTTCGCACTTTGGGTCGGGTGAGCGCACCTGTACGTGCACTCGAAACAGGTACAGATTCTTGAATTGATTGTGCGGATCGCGGATGCCATCCATAAAAATATATATTTATATATTTTTGTATGCAATTTTGCCATGTAAGGACATTTCGCCACACAGTCAATTCCATACTGAAGGGGGTCTTTGACATGTACGTCATGTACTTGGGGCTAAAACTGACGTAACAGAAGTGGCACTGATGGAAAGGGGCACTGTGTCACAGGTCACTAATGTTGATCGTTTAGACTTCAGAGTAGGCCCACTGCGGCATCATACACAGTGTAAGACATAAGCAGGCAGCTGTCAGGGCTCAGGGCGCTTTATATCCAGCAATCCTATCAGCGGATGAACTATGTCTTTCCAAACCTTACACCGGCGCCCTAGCTCTGTCGGTGTCACAAGGCGCACTCCATCATTACCAAGGTCTAGCTCTTTCCTTGGTGCCGGCAACTCTTGCTTAGTGATGGATGCCACCTTCTGTTGGAATGATGTGCTACGGGTTGGATGCAGACGAAAAGAAAGAGAGAAACAGACATCGTTAGGCCGAGTTATTTATTATCAGATGATTTCATATCACTTAGGCTGAAACGTAGTATGTGGTAACGATCTGGCGGCTGCGAAAGGGGTGACTTGGTAAGCTTGATGCTGCATGTATGCACTTAGACTGGAATGCCGAAGGCTGCGAATCATTTTTACTTCAACCCGCTGAGATAATACTACTTGTGCTGATCTGAGGTGACACCGAGCTACATGTAATCATCATGACATGTATGTATCCACTTGTATCTCAGTGTACCAGGATTCTACTTAGAAACAACATCTGTAGGACTGGGATGGGGGGGGGGGGGGGGGGGGGAAGAGGTGCCAAACAGCTCAGACTCGCAGGAATTCCCAGGTCATTACATGGCATTTACAACTAATGCACACCAACTACACTGTGTGTGTGTGCTCTCCACTAGTCCGGCGGACACTGCTCAACACAATACAATACAAAAGTCTCACCTGTCCTTGGTAAAGGCTGTCCACAGGTCCATAACCTGCTCGCTAAAGGCAATACTGGCATTATCGAAATCAATGTCATCGTAGTTGTAGATCGATACAGTCTTCTGCATCATTGGTGCTCCAAACACAAAGTCGAGCTCAGCAGTGTGTGCTGCACCGGCCCAAGCTGGAAATCGGCCATCTTGCCACGAGAAGCAGTAGCTGTACACAACATTGCCAGGCCGTTGGTCCAATGCATGTGCCATGTCGTACGCAGGGCATGCGAACATGGTGTCACTCCACAGTGTGATCACCTGGCTTAATATAGTCTTGGATAACTGCTGCTGCTGCTGCTGTTGGTCAGACAGATTATCATTCTCATCACTCTGGCTGTAAGCATCATTCAGAATGGTTTGAAGCACGGCAGACACTGGCTTGGGGAACTGCATGCTGAAAGGGTGCTGTTGAGGCTGAGCCAAGGACAGGCGGTCACCCATGAATTCAGACCACGTTGACGCAGTCATGCCGTGTTCCACGAGCTTTGCGAACCCCGCCAGTCTCAGAACAAATAATGACATTTCATGCTTGGTGCGACCGATGACTACTGGGAAGTCCATATGTGAGAGTGAGTCCATCAGAACGTCGGGTGGCTTTTCAATTGTTAATCTATCAATTATCGGAGATGCGAAAACCACTTCTGCGGTTGGTAGTGCATATGCCTTGTCCAAGTTCTGCAGCAATCTGTTTTGTCCCTCCATGACCTCACTCGCTGTTTTATTGCGCAAACAAGCATTGCGCTTCTGGAGCGTCTGCTGTTTGCAGTCGAGAAAAGCGGACAGTTGCTGAGTGTCCCATTCGGCCCTCTCCGTGGATCTCCAAGCCCACGGTGCATTGGGTGTTCCACTTTGTAAGATTGCACCCCTGATCATATCCCTGGGCAGCAGGTCTTTGCCAAGCAACATCCAGCCGACGAGTGCACCGCCAGCTGACTCACCAAACAAAGTCACCTTCTTTGGATCGCCGCCAAACGCGGCAATGTTACGCTGTATCCAGTGCAACGCTGCTGAGATATCCGTCAGAGCAAAGTTTGCCAATGTTGGTGAATCATTGTGACCCGCACTATTATCACTGTTGTTAGATTGCTGTGCAGTGTTCGAATCCAGTCTCAAGAAGCCAAGAACACCGAGTCTATAGTTGACGGTAACGACAAGAACGTTGCCTGCAGATAATGCAGTTCCATCGTACAGAGATCCAACTCCATGATTGAATGAACCGCCATGTACCCACACCATAACCGGAACAAGCTCGCCGGATGAGTCGTCACTGTGTTCGGGAGCATGCTGAGCCATGCGGTGGATATTCAGTACCAAGCAATCCTCGGTGGACAGTGGCGTGTATCCACGGTCCACCATTGGTTTATGCACCCTGTTGGATGCTTGTACACAATACTTACTGGGCTTTCTTGCATCGACAGGCTCGTGCCAGGCCAGCACCTCCCGTGCACCTTGCCACCTTCCAGCTGTGGCGTATGGCACGTCGTAGAATGAGTCAAACATTTCGCCCACCCGCTCGCCAGATACAAGACCGCTCGGGCACCGAACCTCCACGGAGTTTGCCCGTATCGCCTTGGAAGACCCCTGCATATCAGCCAGCAGGGCATTAGCTACTCGCTTGCTCCACCTAGTACTGTGGGCAGCCACCGGCTCGTGGGAGTGTCCAGGGTCATCCAGGGCGACAAACAGGATAGCCAAGACTGCTGTCCCTACGCCAAGGAACGCCACGAAATATCCATTCATACTCACCGCTTCAAAGGCTTTCTTGCATGCAGTAGTTGCTAGCGGTAGAGGTATTTTCTACCCATCAAACACCAGCTGTGTAGCCGCCCCAGTGAGCCACACACCATTAGGATTTAGGGGGCGGTAACGACCGTTTGTCACTCAAAATAATAATTATGTAGCTGAACATCACAAGCCTTCCGCGGATCCGCTTATCGCAGAGAAAAACGAAGTACAGACTGTGTAAACCAGGGAGTTGTATTTTACTACTCCCTGGTGTAAACCATCGATCGTGATCAGTAGCCAAAAGGCAAAATATGGTCATGCATGGTAAAGGCATATGCACAAGGCAAAGAAAATCAATTTTGCAAATTTAATTATTTGGTGACAGTTCCCCCCCAAAATGAAGCATAGAATCTGATGCTGGCTGCACACTCTGGTTTGTATACTCTTTTATTTGAGTCTTGGTCTTGCAGTATAAATAATAATCATAGCCAAGACGCGTGTGTGTGTGTGTGTGTGTGTATGTGCGTGGATGGAATAGTGACGGTCAATTCTTCAGCCTTGCAAGCTGTTGAATGGTGTAATCCCAGCACACCGCTGCTATGGCTTCTGCTGTAGCATCGCTATAATCGCCTCCGGCGATGGGTGTCAAAAAGACTCAAAGGGTCAAAAAGTGCGAACTTATGAGATGCTCCCTTACTAGATCAGGGAGTACGACGTGACTGTATATACAAAAATGTTGGCGCTGCACACTTTCGGCATTTCACGATTTTGGACATTTCGGCAGTGATTTATTGTCGGCACAGGATACTAGTACATCACCAAAGCCGATGTGAAACATTTCATCAGCAGTCATTCGGCACCGGCCCAAAACGCCTGGATAATGCTGATGAAATGTTTCACATCGGCTTTGGTGATGTATTACATGTAGTATCCTGTGCCGAAAATACATCACTGCCGAAATGTCCAAAATCGTGAAATGCCGAAAGTGTGCAGCGCCAACATTTTCGTATATACATGTAGTACAGTGTACTCCCTGATCTAGCCTAAGCCAAGGTACTGACTCCAAACTAGACCAAAGCGAAGTGCAGTAAAGGCTTTGCATGTAGAAAATCAGGTACAGAATGAGATGTCTGCTGCACAGAAACTATCACATATGCTCAGTGCCTGGGCCTGAAGAAACATATAAAAAATCCATAGGTCAAAAGAAACTAGCATAAAACTGGTAATCCTATGTGTCTTGTGTACGAAACTTAGGAGAAATGATACTAATCACAAAGAGTCAAGCCGTGGCGAAATTGGCACAAAAGGTACACCAAGGACATAGCATAGCATCGAGGCGCATAAAGCGCCAAAAGGAAGTGGACATCACCGAAAAATGGCATGTGTTAAACCAGGCAAACTCTTACACCACACACCTGTGTACGCGCTGCGGGCATGTGTGGCGGCAAACTTACGCAGTACGCATTGCATGCATGCTGCCAGACTGGCCACTCAATCTCATTGTAACACGCACAGCGGCCCTGTACTAGGTACGGTGCGCTACGTGAGTAGCGGCGGTGGCACATGTACTATGCACACTAGCACACTAGAAACACTATAAACAGTATGAACACACAAATACAGCTAGAAACTAAGCACTAGTAGCAGCTGAGCTAAAACAGATATAAAAGGGAGCCGGTGATGGTACAGTACACCCATCCGGCAGCGAGGAAGAGACGTAGAAGATCTGTTAAATAAAGTCTTCAAGAGGGAGGCATATTTCGCCCTTTGCCAACATGGTTATTAATTTTAAAGTCACTTTGCTTACGGTTGATAAGATGGCAATGAGCTGTTCTGTGTATTGTCCTCGACTTCAGCGAGTAAATTTAGCATAGCGTTTTCACTGGTACTGAGCGTACTTGCCATTTGGTTACGATGGGTTTGGCTGTAGGGCTTGAAGCGTAATAGATTTATAGCACCTGCGACCACTGCACACGCAGCCGCGGACACCACCAAGTAGAAGCTGGTATCGAAGCGCAGATCCTCGTACCCGCTGATCCGCGAGATGTTGCTCGTGCACCAGAACCACAAGCTGCAGCCCATCACACTGCACAGGACTGCAAACACCAGCGCAAGAGGAATCACACAAGACAGCAAGGAACACCATCACTTCTACTGTACATGCTAGTTCAACACTTTAACACCTTTTCAAGTTGTAATGAGACGGACAAGGTGGGAGTCGTGCATGGATGGAAGAGCAACTGGCCAACAGAGACCCTGCCCTGCCGTTACCCAAATACATCACAGCAATACACATGACAAACATACAATTGAAGCTGCCTGGAACCATGTTGTCATGAATGGGTATTGCTACCAGGTAAGCACAAACAAGAGGACATAACCCCCAAGAGCGTCCAACTGCCTGCACATTCCTTTCCAGAGCTGCGATGACAGAGATTCTCAAATATAAATTGGCATGGTTCAATACCGGCACGTAAATATAAGTATTGACACAATTTGGCGCAGGCCTGAAAAATAGGTTGTGACTTATAAAAGGGGACATACGGTAGATTGCGCGAGAGAAGATGCGCAAAGACACAAGCAGAGAATTGTAGCTAACCCAGATTCGAGTACAACTCTGCGTACCTATCATACCCGGGTGCACTGGTTTGTCACATGATGCGAGTCACACTTCTTATAACCCATACACTTGTAATACGTGATAGGCTTGAGTAATACATGTATGGGCATTTGTGTACACTCACACAGTACATTGTATCCACGAGTTACACATCCGTGCTATTTTTTAAAAGTTAGGGTTGGTTCACATAAGCAAAATCAGCGCCGGGAAGCAGCGGCGGTGAGCCAGCTCCCGGTTCGTCCCACATACGGTTCGAGTACCAAGTCCACTACAAAGTAGTACAGAATGTGCCCAAAATGCCCCAAATGCTACGACAGGTTTACCAATTGAAGCTTGAATTCTTTGTTTCTTCAGTAGTTCAAGGTCTTTCGGTGATGGCCACTCGGTGCTACCTTTTACTGGAGATCATGAAACTACTTCTACACCTATTATTACAGTCTAGTAAGCGGTGGTGTAGAAATTATGCGTGCAAACGTTGATGAAGTCACTAGAACTTGCCAATGTATCTTCCGTATTTTTTTATTGGTTTCGATTGTATTTGTCTGATAAGTTACACAACAGTCAAGCAGATCATCCGACAAGGACGGGTTGAAGTAACTACAAGAATGGCAAACGGTCCTCATCATTAGCTTCAATTTAGGACGAAATTTTGACAAAGTCTGGGTCCCGGCACCGGCGATGACTGGTGCGAACGGTTCACAAACCACTTTTGGTCAAATTTGTACGGGATCGGTGCTGGGGCAAATGGCAAGAGTTGAGCACTGCCCAACTTTGCCGGCGATCCCTTGCGATTTTTACCACATGATTTCGTTACGATTGCACTCTTTCATATCATCGCAATGCGCCGGGAGTGGTTGCAAGAAGCCCACCGCCTGTGACTCTTGGCGATGTGTGAACCAACCCTTATGCCACTTTGTCCCCAGGAGATTGCAGATCATCCGAGAAGGACGGGTTGAAGCAACTACAAGAGTGGCAAACGGTCCTCATCATTAGCTTCAATTTGGGACGACATTTTGACAAAGTCTGGGTCCCGGCACCGGCGATGACTGGTTCGAACGGTTCACAAACCACTTTTGGTCAAATTTGTACGGGATCGGTGCTGGGGCAGATGGCAAGAGTTGGGCACTGCCCAACTTTGCCGGCGATCCCTTGCGATTTTTACCGTATGATTTTGTTACGATTGCACTCGTTCATATCATCGCAATGCGCCGGGAGTGGTTGCAAGAAGCCCACCGCCGGTGACTCTCGGCGCGTACCGGCGATGCGTGAACCAACCCTTATGCCACTTTGTCCCCAGGAGATTGCGCAATTGATGGAGAGTAGATAGTATGCGCGCTATGTAGTAGTACTCTCGGTGCTTTATGTATAAGTAAAATGCTTGCTCAGAAATTGCAAGGAAAGCCTTGATAACCATTTTTCACCTGGACGCTAAGGGAATAAGATCAGACGTGTACTGTCTACTGAGCCTGACCAGCAAAGTCCACTGTCTCAGCTCACACTTACCCCCCAGGATATTTCCAATCGCATTGTGCCGCATACACGCCAATCGCTGGCGCGGATAGCCTGAGCTGAGGATGAACGCCATTAGCAGCCAAACCGAGGACAGCAAACAACAGAACACGGTCGCAGCCACCAAGTATTTGTTCTCTGTGTTGGAGCTGAACGGTTCTACAAGCAAAGTAGGTGACACAAGCAAAAGCATAACCACACAGAATTACACATCCTGCTGAGGGTGATAAATTATACAGGGTTCTAGCCAAAGGAGGGTGGGGTGCAGCTCTCTCTCTCTCTCTCTCTCTCTCTCTCTCTCTCTCTCTCTCTCTCCCCCCTCCCCACACACTACTACTACTGACAGCTGCCAGAAATGGCCACGCCGCTCCCCGAAGGGAGGTACTGTCAGAGATGCACACACACACACACACACACACACACCTCAGACATGCCCATCGCGGGAGCGATGATAGCGAACAGCTATGTTTTTTTTAGACATAGCAACTTGTGCTGGGATTACACCATTCAACAGCTTGCAAGGCTGATGAATTGACCGCCACTATTTTTAGCCTGGTATCCACCACACAGCTGTTTGAAGTGACTTTTTATGGCCAGTGAATCCCTATTTTTCATTTTTCCATTTTTTCTTTTTTTCTTTTTTTCTTTTTCTACACACCACACCACATACTCCGGCATACACTGGCTGTTGGTAACCACCCAGGAGAATGAAAGAAAAGTCAGGAAGAGTCTGAGAAAGAGAAGAAAGACGTGTGTGACCATAATCGTCGGGAATCGAACCCGCAACCTATCGATTGGAAATCGCTGCACATACCACTGCACCATATGGGACACACACACAGACACACACACAGACACACACACATTCTCTCACTCACCCACCCACACACGCAGGCGTGTATGCAGGGGGGTTTCCCGTTGCCTGGAAACCCCCCAAATGTTCGAAACGAGCAACGCTTTTGGGCATATTTTGGTAGGGCACGATCGATCTGGCAAGAATGCAAAACTTCAACAGATCGTAACTCAGTCAAATCTCGCTGAAATCCAACGATCCAAATATCCAGGTTGAATAGAAAACTCTCAGCTGTCGGTTGAAACAATTTGCGACGCGCTGCGAGCAATGTCTCTTGAGATAAATCGTTCGTGAGTTGAGCCGCGATCTCGCAATTTCAAAAGCGCGCAGTGCGACTCGAGTATCGAGAATTTGAGATTTGTTGTCACGCGTACGCGGACTTGCTCAAATTTGCAGAGGCTTCACTTGTGATATTTTCAAGAGTACACAGCAAAAAAATCGAAACTCTGCGATCAAGAAAAACGAAATCGCTGGAGCAGGACGCGTTTGGGCCTTTGGCCCAGTTTGGGGCATTTTTTCGCACCGTCGCTGCACTCTACAGCTATAGCAGATAGCGCTGGATATGTACATGGCTGTACTGTGTCCTGGCTATCATGGTCGACCTCATTCTCTCCAGGGTACCTTTCCACTTCCAGGAAGCCTAAGATAATGAAGAAGATTGAGTGAGTAGAACTGAAGTTATGATCCAAAGAACACGAAAAAATGCATAATTTTGAAAATTTCCTAGGGCTCTTTAGAAATACAAATACAAAATACAAAGGGTTAAAACGAGTCATTGTTTGCGATTCGGTTGGAAACCCCCCTAGAGGTGACCCTGCGTACACGCCTGCACACGTGCACATACACACGTCCACACACACACACTCTCTCTCTCTCTCTCACACACACACACACACATACACACTCTCTCTCTCTGTCTCTCTCTCTCTCTCACACACACACACACACACACACACACACACACACACACACACACACCTCACACACACACACACACACACACATTCTCTCACTCACCCGCACACACACATGCATTCACATACACACGTGCACA